TACATGGACCGTCCGCCGTCACAAAATCGCCGAAAATTAGAAAATGGCACTCAAAATGGCAATAATGGCAAAATAAAACAAAAATTTCTTGCACTACAGATAAAATGAAGCTAAAGAGCTGATTAATCTAATAGAAAAAGAATTAACTCAATACCTATCGTCCGCCTTAAGTACGAAGCCCATCTTTGAAGACCCCTTTTTAAAAATAGTCAACTTTCAGCTCCCCTCCCGCACAAAAAGTATTCGATCGAATTTTTTTGTTTTTCTCTCACTTGTAGTACTCGTCGAGCCCCACAAAATGGTATCAAACACACTACTTATTGTACTATAAGTTTCTTGCTAAATTATCGTCAGCGATACCTTTCTCGCCTCGAATATACGGATTCTCATTGGAGAAAAGTGGATCAATCAAATTATGAGCAAATGGCATTCCATAAATAGTTTGTCTGTACAACTGTTTGTGACAGCTGGCGTGCCCGTGTAAAAGTAGTAGGACAAGTTTTGAGTATCAGCACTTATACTACTCGAGCTGTTTCTTCATACAGTATATTAAACGCCGATGTTAACTTTACGGATGGAGAGAAAAACAAGGTCAAAGTTGCTTCATTGTAAGAGAGGCCGAAACTTGACATCCCTAAAAAGGCATGTAGAATATGACTTTTTTCTCGAACAAATATTGGATTCTGTGTAACTTTGTATGTTCTACACGACAGGAGTGTTGGAATTTTTGGAGATAATATGCTAGAGAATCTTGTATTAACTGTGCCGCTATGGGTATAAATGATGCTGTCAAAAGTGGCACTCAGTATTTTTTTCTGTTCTACTTATTTCTTTTACGAATTTATATTAGATTAATGGATGTTAGTGACCAAAATGCAGAAGAGAGAAACCTAACTGTAGAAAAATTAAAAAAACGTACGACATTTATCAAATATAAATCAACTGGCAAAAGTTATTCGAGAACGTATTTTTTGACCTTATCGGAAGATGCGATTAGGTATCTTGGCTCCAGACGGGGTGGAAAATCGAAAGCATGTATGCCAGACTTGCATTGTCCTTTTCTTCGTTATTAATGTGGTTGTCTTTTTGGTCTCTGTAGATCGAGTCAACGATATAGACGAAATACGTCTCGGGTTCAATACAGCTGTTTGGAGAAAATGCCTAGAAAAACGAATGGTCGAGTTATCGCAGGTAACTATAACGAATCATCCTTCCTGTAGACATTGGTATTTGTTTTTAATATCTAGAATAAACTAGCACTTTCAATATTATACAACAACAATCGTTCATCTCTCGACCTATTAGCTGACACAGAAGAATTACGTAATTCATGGTTCAATGGTTTAGAATTTTTGATAAAACGCTATCGTTCACATTTGCGTACTCATCGCGAAATTACCGACAGTTGGATATGGCAATTATTCGATCAAGCTGATCATGATCATAGTAATCAATTAAATCGTTCAGAAATTCGTCGATTATTACACCTATTAAACGTCGAACTTCCAAATGATGACATCGATCATTATTTTAATTTGGCCAATATAAGAGCATCAACATTCCGCGACATAGCACATTTAGATCGCCAAGAATTTATTTTGTTTTATAAATCAATAACAAATAGAGTGGATTTATTAAAAATCATCTGTCAGTAAGTCTCATTTTGTTTTTATTTTAATAACAAAATTTAGACAAGAAGAAGATTTATTCACTTGGAGACGAATACTAACTGTTTATTTTGCTTTTTCCATTTAGGTACAATGGTACTTATAAAAAACATGCAGAAATATCAAATTATCATGTTTCGGATAAACTAGCGAATACCACGCTGATAAATGTACCAAAAGAGCAATTACCAAGTTTTAAAAAAACTAAAAAGCAAAGTGCGATAAAACACCAGCATCATCAAAGTGATAATGGTAAAGAAGCGAAGAACTATTGGACAATCGAACAATTAAAAGATTTTTTACAGAATGAACAGCATATGACCGTATCAATCGAGGATTGTGCAAAATTAATTAAACGATTTGAACCCTCGGTAGAAGGTAAACAATGTGAAGAAATGGGTGTGGATGGCTTACGTTTGATGCTTCTACATGATGAATTTTGTATTATGAATCCAAATCATGCGAATCAAGTTTATCACGATATGACCCGACCATTGTCTGATTATTTTATTGCAACTTCTCACAATACGTAAACTGAATAAATTTAAGATGAGGTGCGAGTTTTTTCATAGTTTTTATATGTTTTGACAGGTACATTAGCGATAATCAAGTATTTGGAACATGCACTCCAGAAACATATGTTCGCGCATTAAGATCTGGCTGTAGATCGGTGGAAAGTAAGAAGTTTTAGCATGACTATTAAGTTTATCAAAAGCTTCTCTTTGTTTAAGTGGATTGCTATGATGGCGACAATTTTCAACCCGTTGTCTATCACGGAAAAACATTGACAAAACGAGTTGAATTTAGAGAAATTCTACATGCAATAAAAGAAAATGCATTTGTGAATTCACCGTACATATTTGTATCTTACCTTACGTCATTCTATGGTTAAATTTTAAAACCAGTATTTTCGCGTTTTTGTTTTAGTTATCCAGTATTTTTGAACATCGAGAATCATTGCTCTTATGGACAACAAGAAGTGTTGGTTCGTCTATTAAAAAGCATACTGAATGGTAGGTATTATTCTGGTATTATTATCAGGTACAAAGTGTTATTGTTCTTTATAACGTACATCTTTCTTTATTTGTTTAGATTATTTATTAATGGAGCCAATAAATGATTTATCCGTTTTACCCTCTCCGGAAAGTTTGAAGTACAAGATACTTATTCGAGTAAGTGAAAGGAATAACGTGCTCACGTATTGTATTAGTAAAATAGATTTTATCTTATTCAAGAGTCGTCGTTTTCTCAAAGGAAAGACTGCGGCTGATCCAAAGATAAACAACAGTAATGATGAGACTGTTCCCTTACCAAAAGTAAATAATGTCTTAAAGTAATTTATTTCATTTCCTCTCCTCGGTTTTTAACTTTTAGGACATTCATCCTGAGTTCGCTAATTTAATTATCTATTCGCAAATAGTCTCCTTTACAAATTTACAACACTCAATGTCGACTCGTAAGTCGTTTCTACGGTATTAAAAGCGTGGAGACCAAGACGTCTACTGACTACCATTCAGGAGTGGGCGAGTCCGAGTCCGGACTGGAAGATTTTTTTCGGTCTGATTTGAACTGGCGATTCTTTCAAAAAACTCGGATTCGAACTTGAGTTTTTGTATTTCGAGTCCGATCGATTCAAATTTTAACATAAATGAACACTAAATTTTTTCTTTATTTTTATTGTTCTGAGTTGGATGCTATTCAAGGACTGCCTACACCTTTTCATACAATATTAATATGTGAGATATAGACTATAATAGATTAAAAACATTACTCTCTCTAAAAATTCTAATTACTATAGCAGCTTGTTTTAGTTAATAACAGTCCGAATTGAACTACATAATAGAAATTAAACGTATGACTTTATGTCTAACGCGTAAAGCTATTATATAAACGAAAAGTGATTAGATGCGACAGAGCACATTTTGCGAAAAACGTATCTATTTCTCAACTGGTATTGGTAAAATGTAATAGAAGTTTACTTTAGTAACTGTTTCTGTTTCAACAAGATTGATGTATTAAATGGCACAAAAAAAAGAGAAATAAACCACAATCATCAAAAGAGAATCTAAAAGATTATCGAACTCGAAATGGACTCGAACTCCATCCTTAATGTTAGAGACTCGGACTCAATACCCTCTCGGACTTGTCCAACCCTTCTACCAATCATCAAGTATAGTTTTATTTTGTTCGTTTTAGAACACTGTTATCATTCGATATCATTTAAAGAATCAAAGGCGAATGAACTTATCAAAGAATCACCAGATAATTTAGATTTGATTCGGCTTACTCAAAGGCAAATAGTACGAATTTATCCATCATCATATCGTCAAGATTCAAGTAATTTACATCCCGTATTCTATTGGTTATATGGTGCGCAGATGGTTGCTCTCAATTATCAAGCGGACGATGAATCTATGTCTTTACAATATGGTCTTTTTAGCGATAATTGTGGATGTGGTTATTTATTAAAACCATCCATTTTATTATCACCTGCCAATGAGACAAAAACTAAAATACCACTTTTTAATCCAAAAGATCGATTGTATAGTAGAGGCAAAAAATTAACGATTCATATAATTAGTGGACAACATTTACCAAAAGAAAAGTCAATTGAAGGCAAAGATGTCATTGATCCGTATGTTAAAGTACAAATTTATGGTGTGGAATTTGATTATCATGAAGAACGAACGCCAGTGGTAACGATATTATACATTATGGAAGAATTTCTTTTTTATCTTCTTTTGTTTCGGTGTAAAAAGCGAGGAAAAAAAATTGAGAATATACTCTATAATTTTCTAAACTAATTATGATATAACTTACAAGTCTTTTAAAAACTTTGATCTTCTTTTTATTTAGATCAAAAATAATGGTTTAAATCCAATATGGGATTATAAAATGTCGTTCGATATTTATTGTCCAGAATTATGTTTAGTTAGATTTATTGTCAAAGATCAAGACAAATATGGCCGATCCGACTTTGTTGGTCAATATTGTTTACGTTTTCAATCATTACAATTAGGTTATAGACATATTAAATTAAAATCAAAAAATGAAGACTATATTCAAGGGACGTTATTCGTTCATATAAAAATTGATGATTTTTAAAAATTATTAAGTCACAATGAGATGTAATAGTTAAATTTTCAGAACAGTCAGATATGCATCTTATCATAAACATTCGATTAATTAAACATAATTTTTATGAGCAACTTTAAACTTTTTTTTTCACGTAGAATAAGTTGATATGGGTTTTAAAAAGCATGACTGAATTTTTATTTATATAGGATTTAGAACACTCTTTATATCTAGTATTTGATATGTTTTTGTTTCTTGATCTGATTCGTTAAAACAATAGTTGATTTCCATTTTATTTTGTGTTTGATTACACACATTTCTGTCCTTTTATACTCACTTTACATTGTGATACGATTGAACTGTTAATCACTTTCGTTTGAACTGTAAATCACTTCCGTTTTTATTTTTTATAACAGATCTGAACAGTTCAATAAGATCGAACAGTATGTTTGATATTTATAATATTTGTATTCAATGAACAGTTTATTGTTATTTCCTTCCTAGTTTGTATCTTATAATTTTTCGCTGAAAAAGTTGCCATAAACTCTCAACGCTTTATTATTTATGTTTTTTTTCTAGTGATTTTCACGTTATTTTGCATTATTTTTACTATAAATGTTATATTTTAATTGTGTATATTAAAGTTATAATGCAAACATATTCTGTTGGAAGTTCTAGTTCGACTTTAAAACAGATTAGGACTGATCGAGTTCGATAATGTTTCAGTTTTCTTTTTTTATTTTTATTCTTATTCTTCTTTTGCGCTCTATATCATATATAACACATCGATCTGTTATATCAGAAAAAGTTATTAACGTAGACTTTGATTATGCTTTAACAATACCAGTTGAGATCTTTTATCGTTAAATTTGCTTTTACACGTCTGGTAAAAAATACCAATTGTGAATGATAGAATTTCAAATACAAAAACTCCAGTCAGAGCCCTAAAAAAATATATAGTCCAGACTTGTCCATCCCTAAAACAGATAATGATACTCTATTTGAAATGCATGTTATATGAGGATAAAGCGGTCGCAGATCTTACAAATCGTTTCAAGGCTTTTTGGCCTTCTTTAATATTCGGCGACTCCAATAGTCACTCATTGGCGGCGCATTTAGCTAAAATCCATCCACGTATGAGAAAAATTGACATGAAGTCATCCACAACTCAAACGATATAAGCGGACAAGGACATTCGACAGATGTTCTTAGCATTAAACGTGATCATAGTTGATGATTATTAAAAGGTGTTGTATGAGACCAAACCAGACATAAAATATATTAACGGTGAAAAAATGAATCAGTCTTAAATTTATATCAAAAACATTCGGTTTTTCTTAAAACTAGACCATCATCAAGTCCAACAGCAGACATGTCAACCTTCAACAAATGTTTTCAATTTTCATAAAGATACTCCTTTTGTTTACAAACTTCGAAATAAAAATAGCGTGGAAAATTAATGATCATTTCTGGTTGCCTGACTATTTCTATTTTGAGAAAGCGCGAATCTTAAGTTGTATTTTGAATCAGTGAAGATAATGCCATGAATAGCGTTCTTATGGCTTCGTTTTAGAATAACATAATTCATCCAAGGGTTGTAGAGTTTAACAGTAGTTCGTCTCAGAGAGAAGTTGACATGTGAAATTACGCAGAATTTCATTAGTACGAGTCTTAGAGCCGGGATGATCGATAATATCTCTGTCCAGTTATTCATCAATCAAGAAAGTCCAAAAAATGAATAATTATTAAAAAGCAGTATTATGGGCGCAAAAAGTATAAAAATTCGCGTTAAACTAGAAGTCGGCTATATCTATCGAGTCGTTGAGAAGATATCAGCTAATAATTGCAGAACCTCAGTTGTTGTACATGTGATGACATATAACAGAGCGTCGGGGGTTTTACTGTAGAAGGATTGCCTTTGTATATTATATTCTGCTGCATATTCATGCATAGATGAATAACTCTGTCTAACATGAACATAAAACGAACACATTCCTCATCTGCATTCGTCTAGTGTTCTCTTTCTTGGAGAAAAAAGATAAAGTATTTTTTATTCAAATATTTGGTAAAAGAGCCTTTAAACCATTATCAATGGGTTTTTCAAAAGCCTTCAAATTGCATATAGTTTAATGATAATAGTATAATTAATTATGAATTCAAACATATGTTTTAAGCTGAAAAATGGTACGTAATGAAATGAATTGTACAGTTGTCCTAAAATATCATTGACTCTGATTCTCTCCGTCCAAATCTGCCGAGTAGTGCCGCAATTGTAAGCAATAAACATGTCAACATATTACCAGCTCCAAACCACATTACTGATCCTTTTTTCTCCGGTTTGGTTTTTATTGCATAATCCGTAACGAAGATCCAAATGGATGCTGCAACCCCACAAAATATGATAATGAATACAACAAATAATGATATTTGAGCACATTTTGAATTATAACAGTATCGATCGTTTCTTCCGCCAAATATTCCATCATCTGTTTGCAAAACCACATCTGGAATAAAATGTAATATAAAAAGCATCAACGTAATAAATGCGGCTGGAATGATATTTCGACGATCAAATTCCTTTGGTTTTGATCGCGATAATATATCGATTTCAATCCACCATGCAATTCCTGTAATTATTCCGACGACAAATGCTATGGAATAATTTCGTACTTTGACAGATTTTGATGTTATACTCATCTTGATGAATGTTCAGTTTTTTTTACATTCGAAAAACATCTCAATTCCCGCTGATTTTTGTGTATACTTATTGAAAATTAATGCTGATATTTGTTTGAATCTAACTAATTAAAAACCAGCAATCTGTTGTTTTTAACCAATATGTACCATAAAAGAACCTTATTGTGAATAATAAATTGGATACGAGTACCGATCATTTCACATTTGAATTCTCGTGGAATAGCAACAACGAGAACTATTATTCATTTCATTGTAAGCTTGATGTAAATTTCTACGATTCATCCAGAGCTCTTTTTTACCTGTTTCAATAAACTATATGTTTAACTCTAACAAAAATTGCCTTTACTCACCATTACCAAAAGAATATTCATGATGAGAGTTGTATATTGTGGCTCATGATGAGAGTTGTATATTGTGGCTACACGATGGAATGAAGTTTTCTTCTTCTTCATGGAAATGTCAACTGAATTATTGTCATAATAATTCAGAAAACGAACAGTTGTTTCAACAGTGGATATAAATACAAATTTCTAAAGAACGACAAAGCACAGTCAAGACTAATTTCGTAACTAAGAGTTACGATCTGTCTCAAATGTAATTCGTTTATCAAGTTCAATTTAATAGAAAACAATAGACGAATGCATACAAATAATGACAATATGTTAACCATCTATCACACAGTTCGGTATAGATTTGTCCATACCAACAATTAATTTCATAATCTACTCAATCAACTTCTTCAAGACGAGTCTGTAAGTGTCGGAGTTTCATTCAGCGGTTCTATATCTCGCAGTCGATATTCAGTTATTGGACTTGTATTTAAGCTTTTCTTTTGATAAAATACCACATAGTAAGTTATTCCTACTACTATACAAATGAAAACCAGTATTAATGTTATAACCAGACCAATTGCACTTGTCGAATCCATTAGTTGAAGATAGATCAATGGCTTTTTTGTTTTTTTGCGTGTAAGCAATGGAAAGTACAATTTCATGATGAACTGGCGCACTGCTCTCACTACTGATTTTAATTAAAGTCTTGCAAAATTTCATATATCAACTATTATCACTTTTTATACGGGACCAACGTTTGTTTTCATAAAGCAAAATGATAGTTGTAGACTCTCTTAATTCTTTGTTTGATGCGGAGAACACTATTGCAACTCTTAACTTTTCTCTTTCATGCGGTGTCTTCATAGTCAGTTTCGATAATAGATCAATTTTTAGAACATAAAAAACCAGCAGAGAAATTAACAGAAATTATTATTTTTTAAAAATCAAATAAATTAGCTGATTTACAAGAAGTTCTAGAACTTTTGTGCGTCATTCATTTTCCATAGAGCCTGGTTGTTCATCATGTAATCTAAGCGAATGCATCAATGTTCGATGATAAGTTGTAGTAAAAACATCCTCACCATTCATGATTTTTTATCCATCTGAGTTTTGATTTAAATGATCGGCTGGCATTTGAGGAGAATCAAATTGTAATGTTTCTCTATTTACAACGTTTTATTAAGGAACGATAACATTCATCTTTCTCGTCGTTACGGTAGTAGTCAGGTAGCTGATAATCTACATCAAAGGTTTCATTTATCACAAGAATTAGTGCTTTTATTCTCTTTTCTAAGATTCAAACTACCTGCTCCAACAAAAATCTCCATGTATGCTTAGTCTATTGAACGTGAGCATGAAAATATTAAAAATATGTTCTTAAATTCTTTTGAAAAAGGATACATTTCTTCAGTCAATTTTTGTAACTAAAATAAATATAATGATAGTTAAATATATTATCGTAGTAATCAGTATGTTACATACTTTTCTCATTAAACAGCTCATATTTTCATTTGCTTTTTTTTGACATTCATCTGACTCAATACTAAAATAGTGGATAAACAAAATATTCTTTATCAATTGTTTCTATTAATGAAAAAATTAATTTTACTTAATATTCGATAAATCTTTATCTAAGGAAAAATGTAATTTTGCTAATTGTTCTTGTTGTTCTCGAATCGTATCCATTTTTGTGCATGTAAATTGAGGACCTGTAAAAAAGAAAAAGAATAGAACGTTTTATGATTAATAAATATAAAAAAACAACAACAACTTACTAAATGCAAGTAATGTTCCAGCACGAAATTTTTGTAATAAATCTGTTAAATCATTTTCTAATTCTTTGATTGTTGATACATCACCAAAAAATGCATGTTCATTATGACGAGCACCACTGCTAACATCGAGAGGATTATCGGAAAAATTCTCAACTAGAAAGATAGACATCATTTTTAATTAAGATAATATACGCGTCGTAGTGTGATCAACTTACGTTTATCATTCACATCTGTACCACTACTATCTATAATACCGTCATTAAACAATTTTTGTTTTGTAGGCGTTTTTATATTACTATTTGACATAGTAAATAAATATTATCTTAAAAAAAATGATCAGAGTCAAACACAATCATAGACGAAAAGCAGTTCGCCACAAGTCTATGTTTATCTCAGTAAATAACAAAAAACTTTAGCTTGCTGGAATCACGCATAAATACTAATTAATTTGACAACAAAAAGATGAATAACATAAAATATGAAGAGATTAGATAAAAATATGCAGAGCTTGTTATGTGAAGATACATCATCAATGTAACAGATGTTTCTGTACGATTTTTTGTTAAATGTTTACGGTCATTAATCTGAAACTCTTTTCTCTATCATTAGTGTCTTAAACATAAACTAAAAGAAAATAAATAAATAAATAACATAGCTTGCTATCAAACACAAACTCGCTTATCCCAGGATAACAATTAATACATCGCACCAAACGAACAAATTTTTCATTCCATTGGAGGATATTTATCAACAAGAATATACAAACATACAAGAAATACTATCTATAACTGAAAGTAGAACACGATAGAATATTAATTAATCGATTATAAAATGTATCCTGAGTGCGTTTCACGATACTGAAATACTTGGTGACATAACAGAGAAATTCAAAAAGGAGATGATACGACAACAACTTGTATTACATCAAGATATATTTGTCTTTAAACAGTGATTAATATTTTTGTCTACCTTTCTCAATTAAAATATCAACGTTACATGATTTAGGCAACGATTTTAAGCAGATAAATCTTATGATGAGTGCAACTGTTTTAAAACAGCTGCATTAATCGTAAGATTTAAAATATCAACTATATACTAGTTATCTCATGTTCATTCTGTAGTTTTAATGCACCTGAGACATCAACAAGTTTATACTCAAAATCATAATCATTTACATTTACACCTTGCTTTAAGTGCATTAAGCTAAGCCTCACACAGACGTCATCGGTCAACAATTCATTTTTCTGTACTGTGATAAGAGAAAGAACGTATCATTAAAATTACTGTCTTATATTGTTATTTCACGTTCTTAGAAAACTATATATTCTGAAATATTTATATAAATATGCTCTAATTTATTAACGAACATTTCTAACATAAACTATGATGATGAATAATTGAGGATTTCACCGATTTTCATCAATTTTCACCAAATGAAAAGTCACCTGAAATGACTGAAAATCAATTGATTTTGGGTGATTTTCGATTGACTTTAGGCTGATTTAAATCCCCTGTTTCCCCCTTGTGAATAATCCATATTTTTCCATGTTTTTAAATTTTGGTATCTTAAACAGCGCAATGTCAACTTAGATTTTGATTCTTCTTCCTTTTGTATCTATCCAAAATATTTATTATGCTTCCGGTTCTCCCTCCGAAATGTCCATTTCGCCAAAAAGTTGTACATATGAAGTTTTTCACTCATTCGAAGATATTGCATTCAAATTCAAACATAACCATTAACATCCACATATACTCTAAATTTATTAATCAGATGTGTAAAAAAAAAGTGATTAAAAAATCATAGTGAATAAAATCTAAATAAAAATATAAAATTGAAAACACGTGAAGTGAAGAGATATCTTTTAGGCAAAGAAAGTTTTACAAATTATATTATGTAACTTTGATTATTTCGATTATCAGCTAGAATTAAATACAATGTACACAAATGGAATTTCGATAGGAATGAAGAAAAATATTTTTATGTATTTAATTATAAAATTAGATTGTTGTTATTACAAAACATAAATCAAAACAAAGAAATAAAGACAACACGAAAATACAACTTTTGATCAGTAAAAAATAATGAGTATCTTTGAAAACTGAGAATAAACCAAGAATAAATGAAGACAAAATGAGTTAAGGAAAATATTTCTACTATTCAGTAGCTTCTTCCCACAATTCTCCCATTTTAGCTAAAGCATCACATCTTCGACGTCTTGTTTCTCTTGACACTAATGAATCGCCTAATACATTTTCACACACATCTCGTTGGATTGATTCTATTTCCAATTTTGTTGCTCGCCATAAAGCTTCCATACTTTTTGCTGCTGTATCAGACTCTAGTTTGTGTTTTTCTTCCGGTGTCAATGGCGCACTCACTTTTACGGATGAATGCCTTGATCGGCCCACTTTTAATTTGCTGTGTGGTGATTCTGTACTTGTTGTAGTGTACTGTGGCTGAGAAGAAGCAGCACCAACTTCATCGGAAGGCAATGTACCGTGATTTGCTGGCTCTGAGGGAGGAATGTATCCGTCATATTCCAAGTGTCCAGAGTGATGTTGAAAAGGTGTCTGTTTATCAGTGTTTGATGCGTCTTTTTCATTAGCTTCCTCTTCAGCTGCTTGTGCTAATTTCCCCATTGACTACAAAAAAGAAGCATAATCATTCTTCTTCACTGCAGCCTATTCTAGTATTCTTACCTGTGTCCACTCCACTGCACATTTAACTGTTTTAACTGTTTCTTTAACAACATGTGCACGTTCTTTCAACTAAACAAAAAATATATATAAAATTGACTAAAACTATACCAGATCAAATGTTGGTTTATATACCGATGCTTTTATTCCTTTACCAACAGCTACTACACGTTTTCCGAAATGTCCCTCTTGAGAATCCATTTTTGCCAAAAACTGAGTGGCTTTTGACGAATAAATGTAACCGATACAATGTAACAAATTTTCACCATAGGGAGCATTTAATAAATTCGGTATTTCTGACTTAACGGTATGAACAAACCTCTTAAATGCTTGTGCTGCTACTTCATCATTATGCTTTGAATTATCATTGTATGGAAATGCTTCAGTATAACTAGATAATCTATAAATAAGATTTTCTGATAACATTTTAATACGTCCTTCTCTCGCTGCCGTACGTTCATCAATAAATTCCTGACGTTTACGTTGTTTTGCTTCTTTTGTTTCAGTTGAAGGATCTTGATTTTCTGCCGATAATATTTCTGAAATAGCATGCTTAAACGATTTCGCCAACTCAAAATCGCCAATTATTTTCGTAAATTGTTCTCCACCAAACATAAGTTTAAAAAATTCTTCAGCATCAAAATCTTCCATACGCATCGGAGAATTTATACCAGTAGATCGTTCATCGAGACCATATTTATTGTATAATAATCGTTTTTCAGGATCACTCAAAATTGCTAAATAGAAGAACATGTTAGACTATACAGAATAAACACGTATTATGAATTAAAACTTACTGTACGCTTGTGAAATCAATTTAAATTTTTCCGAATATTCTCGTCTAACTACTTCATTCAGATGTGAAGTTCTATCTGGATGGTATTGCAATGATAATGAATAATATGCTTTTTTTATTTCAGCTGCCGTGGCAGTCGGTGTTACATCCAGTACATTATAATAGGTTTTATCAACTGGTTGATCATCGGTACCCGTTTTTCCACTAGACATAAATTTTGAAGAATAACTTTTTTTCTTATTATCATTGTTGTTCGATTTTTTCGTATTGCTACTATTATCTTGACCAGAAGATGAATTATTATCTTTGCTAGCTGTAGATGACATTATCTGTGATGATTCATAAACTTATCATTGATGGAAGTAATCTGTAAAAATATGATAAAGAAAATAATTTCAAAAAAAATTCAAATCGAGCGTTGAATATAAAAAATCTATGATCATATTTGCTTGTCAAGTTAAAAGCAAGAGAGATTTGAGTTCATTTTTACATCGATCCTACATAGGGCAGTAAGAAGCCATTGTATTTAATAATATAAACCCTAATTAACTATAAAAAAACAAAATTCGAAGAAAGATGAAAACATTGCGCTTATTTAGAATTCTTTTTTTAATATTTTTAATGTAATACATTACAAAACAAGATAAAAATCATTGAGTAATCAGATATGTATTCTCATTAGGGACACGGAAATTTGACTCTCTAACTCCAAGAACAATTCACACGTCTAACTAGATGCTAAAATAACTGAAGGAAAAACAGTAAATATCGGAGAATTAAGTCAATGGTAAAATAAAGAGTACACGGAACGCATTGAGAATATATGAATGAAAACAATTATACTAAAATATTCATCATCCTTAAATTAAGCATAAAACTAAAAGACACAAACTTACAAACACAACATAAGTCGTCAGATCAGCCAGTATTGTGGTTCACAAGAATATCGATTTCGATATCGTTTGTTGTCGCAGTATTAATCAAGTGTTCTTGTACTTTGTTTTACTTGTTCATCGAAGTCGACTAACTATTTTGAAAACTTAATATTTGTTTGTAGAATTGATCATACTGAATAATATCTCATGAGATCTATACGCATAGACGATAATTGTTGAACGACAGATACGATACGCATATGACATAAAGTAGTGTTCTCTTCAGGTGTGGGCAAAACGGAATTTTCAAACGCCTTGTTTCATAATATTTCTGTCTCGTTCTGTATTCGAGAAAACTTTTGAAAGCTATTTCGTTTCGTCTCATGTAAAGAAAATCGTCATCTTCGTCTATCTATTTAACGCTTATCACATTTGAGATAGCATTAGTTTCAAACAATGTACCGAGAAAGAAAGAATCGTCGTAGTTTTTCGTCGTAGTTTTGTCTAAACTGTCTTTTTTTATCGCGTCACATCTTTGCGCAAAATTTCGCAAGACGGGACCAATTCGATCACCTCTGGTACTTTCCAAATCGTCGTCTTTGATGAACGAAAAAACAGGAAATGACTGGTCATATCGAAATCCAAAGAATTATCAGCTTTTAAAAATATATTTTTGAAATTAGTGCACTTATTTGAAGAACAAAGTGCTAGAATGAAAACGAGATACAAAATGTGCGGGTACAATTCAGTTGAGATAAATGAGTTTAAAATAATTGAGTTATCAAAAAAATAACATCTCACACATCAGAAATTGTTACCTTATTGTTCAACGACTTTAAACTATCAAAATAAATAGATTTTCACACACCAAAATGAGTTCAGATGATAGTTGTCGTGAGATTTTTGTTGTGCGGTTCAATATATGGTGAGCTATCTCAATATTAAGGCTTATGGTCAACAGTCGTTTTTCAGATGATTTAGAAATAGAGATCAAAGTAAAATGTCTCGCCTTTTGATCAATTTATTGTGGATCACGACCTTTCTTGTTCTAGAAGGTGAAACAGAACGATCAGAGGACGTACACACCAAACTAACTCTAGAAAAACGCAGTATTATTTAGTTTAATCTTATTTATTAAGTGAAAACAGATGATTTCTCATTGTAAAAAAAGGAAGAATAAAAAAAAAGAAAGAGAAAAAGAAAGAAAGAAACGAACAAACGAACAACGGTTAGAAACTTATATGAATCTTTTACTTTCTTTCAAAAAGTCAATAATGTCAAGATAGTGGTCAGCTTGACTAACATTAGTACTCGCTGTTAGAAGATCTTTTAAAGAAGGATTAGATCCAATATTTAATTTAGTAAACAAAATGTTGTGGACAACATGATAATAAGTACACTCTGAAAAGTAGTGTTTCACTTTTACTTCATACATACGGATCTGTTGTGGTAAGGTTACGTGTAAATAGTTTATTGTTGAGTGATGAAATATTTCTTCTCTACTAATGAATGTTTAAAGTAAATAATACGAAAAATATTTAAAAGATTCTTTTAAAAACCTCTGAAAAGAGAAATATATCTAAGAGTATTCATTGCTTTATCATTCCACTCTAGAATAGAAATAGGTAAAAACGTTTTCTTACACATGTCTTTTTTCGTAATAGATGGTTCTAAACCTAATTATTTGTTCGAACGCGTGTTACTATTCTTATGTGTTAAATATTTCCTTATTTTTGGGCCTGCTAATCCTCGAACTATTTTATAAAATCAAATCATGCGATGAATAACAAAAAAAAAATCTGATAAATTTCTCTATTCAAAATATTTAAAAATAAGTTCACTTTTAATTCTTCTAATTGTGCCATTCACAACACAACTAACCTTATACTGTAGCAAAAGTAGTTTTTGGAAATCAGTTGCAATATAATATGAGATGAGAATTATTTACTATCGAACTTTCGAGTTTCAGCAGATAAATAGTAATGAAAGAAAAATGAACGTCATCATGCTACCAACACTACACATACTCCTGAACATTCTGTATGATAAATCAATTGCATGAATGTTAATCACCTACTGCGAAACGACACCTCTTATCTTAAAATAAATGTAGATGGGACAATTCAATTCAATAAAAGGAAATAACAAATTATTATAATAATAGAAAAAAAAAGAATGATTCATTTTTTGTGATGATGATTCACGCAGGAAATAAATGACTGGCTAAATTTTGACAAGTAAACATATCTGAAAATGTTCTCCGTTTTTTTTCTCGATTCATCGACACTATGCACTTCTGCAGAGTTATAGTTCGAAAAGTGTAGTGAATCTTAAATTAAAAATGGCATTTGCAGTGATATATTTTTTCACGCAAACATTGCTTGTTCAGCGAATGATGATTTATCTGCGTTTTGTAGAATAGTGTAGAATATAATTATTGCTAGTGACGTATTCTTAACTTTCGAAGTAAATTTAGTCCTATTTTTAGCAAAAAACTGCAGTCAGTTTTAAGTAATTCTCTTTAAAGGTTCGGTTGTTCGTTTTTCGTGTACAGCGTATTGTTGGTATGTAATAGTCACTTGTTGCTTCTCTACGTGTATTAAACTCAGTTGTAGGTTGAACTAAGGGTCTATTTTGACTTTTTTTGTGAAGTATTTTACACAAAGGTTTAAGTAAACTGAGACTTAAATTTTAGCTCTGATTTCAATGAGACTAGAAATGTTTCGTCAAACATCGTTGTTTATTTACCCGCTATTAGTCAAATAAGCTCAGTTACCTGTACTCTTAATTTAGTGTTCTACACTAGCCTGAAAATGGACCACGTTTGAGACGATATTTTTTAATATTCTTCAAAAGTAAAAATTTTTATCTTTTTTTTGTCACTGTCGATGCTTTCCATTTAATATTAAACAAGTCAGAGTTAATTACATATATGCAACTAATGTTGTTCTATTTATACTTTAGATTTTAGTAATGGATAATTCTAAACCGACTACATCAATCGAAGACGAAAATGATGAAGATGAATTTGCATTATTGGGTGATCCTGTTGAAGTGATTGAGCTCGATTCATCAACAGCTAATGCAGCTCCAGTTGAAGAACCTTTCGATGATTTAGATTTAGATCATGGAGACAATCTGAATGATGACGAAGATGAATCAGATCAAATGGAACAAACAGAACTGGAAGATGATGATGCTCTAATATTGTTTAATAAACATGAAAAATCCAAATCTGTTTTTTGTTTATCGGTTGATCCATCGACAAGCACAAAAGTGATAAGCGGCGGCGAAGATGATAAATGTTTCTTATGGAAAATAGCCGATGGTGAAACGCTGTGTGAATATAACAATTTTCAAGATTCGATTATTGATTGTTGTTTTAGTTTTGATTCAAAGTATGTATGTGCAGGAGATATGGGTGGTCAACTTCGGTGTTGGGATGTGAATAGTAAAGAGGAAATATGGTCATTTCACACTGGTAGCGATATAGAATTATTACGTTTTCATCCGTCTGCTCATATACTACTCTGCGGTACAAATGATTCACAATTATGGCTATTTAAAATTCCATCAGGCGAATATAAAACGATGCACGGTGCAACAGATAAATCTCTGTTAACATTGTCAATTTTATCGAATGGTAAACAATGTATCTGTGGTTATGGAAGTGGACAAATAAAAATGTGGGATCTCAAACAATGTCAGACAGTATGGCAATACGATCCAACTACAACAGATGATAATAATCAAATCATATCAATGTGTGTAAATGATGAAAACTCGTTAGTGGCATGTGGATCAACGGATGTGACATGTAGAATAATAAACATTACCAACGGTAAATTATTAACATTGTTCAATTGTTTTTTGGAGGAAGATGAAAAAGTCGATAATTCTGTTGAAAGTGTTACGTTTGGTGGCGAAAATCTTCTGATATGTGGCACAGTTATTGGACATTTATTTATATGGGATGTAAATTCAAAACAAATTAGAACCAGGATTAATACGAATAGTGGAATTGTTAAATGTATAAGTGATTCAACATCATTATATACAGCTTGTTTAGATGGTCATATTAAATTGTTTGATGTTAGAAATGGTGAATTGCTAAAAGAATGGAAAAGTGGCGGAGGAAACGATTGTCAAATATTAAACATGGTGATAACAAATGATAAACAACATATTCTTTGTTCGTATAGCCAAGGGACATGTAGGATATTTAAAACAAATAAAACATAGTTTAAATATTTGTTATTGCTTCTTATTTGGAATCATACACTATAGAAAAAAATTAAAATTTTATTATTGATAGAATTTACAGGATTTTGGAGACAGATGTGAAATTTTATTCGAGTATTAAGAAAAAGAAATAAGAACATAAATTTCTAAATTCGTTGTATCTTGTTCCATCGTTGTTGACGAGAAATACCGACTATTTGAAAGCAGTAATTTTATACGTGCTATTATGTTTTACAGTGTATGCATCCTTGTACATGTGTAAACACGATTAGAACTTACTCTTGAGACAGTATTATTGCTCATTACCTCTCAAATCTGATTGATCTTTCGTACTGATACTATGGATTTCAACTCTCATAGAATCTCTCATAGAAAGCAAATTGACGTTGATAAACGACTTATTTATGTTTGAGATAAACGGTAAAATTTGATCATATGCTGAATTTCATTTGTCACTATTCGTATTAATCATGAACTTGATTTAGCTTTTCATTCTTGGCAGAAGATTATTGTATGCATCGGTATGTGTTATTGTTACAGATTATCAGAACTTTGAAGTAGAATTTTAAGTGTAGAATCTCTATACAACGGTGATTTCTTTTGATGAAGTAAAGTGTGTCACAAAAAAGAAAAAGGAAATCACTGTCTATTCTTGTTATGCCATTGTGAAGTTTTTCTAAACGTCTAAGTCAATTATGAAAACTAGAAGAATAGGTGAATAGGAAATAAAATATAGACCCATTAAAGTATCCTTTTTTTTCTTCATTTTTACATTTCTATTATTTTGTAAGTGATGAATTAACACATATGGATATAGACATGTCTAAAATGAATATGTGCAGATGTTTTTATGGTGTATTGTGATCACTTTAATTTTAGAAAACAAAATAAAAAAATGAAATATAAAGAAAGAAAGTATGCAGAGCTGCCTCTGGCTTCTATAGATCTTTTTGTTTCAATTGTATTCATGTCTATTCTATTCTTTGATAGGATTATTCTACCTTAAACAATTCTTTTTTCTTCAATGTTTTATATTTGAGCAATTGACACGTGTATTCTTCTTCTGTATGCGTTTAAAGTTTTTGGACTATATCATCTCTCTCAAACCCATGTTTGAAATGATACAGATGTCTTTTGTTTAACTGTCGAGTTAAAATATAGTTCGGTTAAAATGAACACTTTTGATTATGATCACTTATTGTACGTTTGAGTTGAATAAGAAGAATAAAAGCTACAATACAATGGGTGTATTTTTTTTTATTTGGAAGTACTCTAAATGTTTTATAGTAAAAAAAAGTATAAGAACTTTTAATATTCAGAAATTAGTGAGGTATCTTTCAGATTTTCACTTATCTCATTTGAATTTAGAGTGTTTTCTCGCTCTTGGGAATACGTTTAACAAGGTCCTTAAAGACTAAAAATACTATCAAAAACTATTTTTACTAAAATATTAGAATGATACCGTGATTACAGTTTTAAGAGTAATTTGGCAGACAGAATTCTCAGCGTTAATAGAAATTTTTTTTTTCAAGAAGGTAATATTCTATTTGACTTCTAATAATTGATAAAACAATACACACGTACTACACACGCAAGTTTTACTTATCGAACTAATATTGAACGATTGCTATTACAAACATAATTGATTTTGTTCTATTCGGTCTAGTTTCTCGTTTTATTATTCGTTTTTCTCTATAATAATCTAAACATTATTTCTGTTAATATTAGTTACAATTTCTTGCATCTCATTCTCCCTCTCTCTCTCTCTCTCTCTCTCTATATATATATATATATATATATATACACATATAACAAAAGCATGCGTTTCACTCTCGATGGAATCGTCAGTAGAAAAAGAATATACAAAAAAAGTAAAAAATATAAGGATATAGCACAATGCATGCTTTTATTTTTTTGTTTCAGATAAGTAGTAATAGCTGCAGGTTCTCTTTACTTTAAACATTTAGTTGTGTTGAGATCGATTATGTGCTTATTGAAAATGATTAAAAATAAAACATCGATCTCATGTTAATCCCGTACACTTGTTTATTAATGTTTTTAATATTTCTAAAAACTACCTAGCAAAGTGAGTGAAAAAAAAAGTGATTTATCATTTGTAAGTTTTTATCTTATTCTTCTCTATTTTAAGTGTTTATTGTCGTTGGTTTACTAGTCTATTTTTCTATACTTGATTTTTTACAATCAATTAGTTAATTTACAAAATGGCTAGCCATTCAACTAGTAAGTTGTAGAAAAAAAAAAGATAATGAACTAAATTATTTGTCAGACGATGGGTGAGTGAGAATATTTACTCACACTTGAATATAGAATCTTGGGTACTTATATTTATGCTAGCACGTTTCTTTTTAGTAAACTCAAAGAATGACTTGAGTACTTTTCTATCAAAAATGTTTAACGAACATCTCTTAAAAAATGTTTGATCTTTTTTTAAAAATCTGATAGTTTAGAGTAGAAAAATGAGAGGTATGAATGATTAAAACTCTCTAAACTGTCTAAAAAAAATTTCTTGCACTCGTACTTGCTCATCTCTATTATTTGCACACTGCTTATTTCGTTTAACTTTGTCAATATGGAAAAATTCAGTTTACACCAGACTAATTTTTCTTTTTTTCATTATTGTAGACGAAAAAGAAAGCAGTGAGGCTCGATCTCCGAATGCTACAATGAATGACGACGCGTTAAGTAAGTGCTTATTAAATGAAGGAATGTTAGATGTTATGAAATAGGAAGTGTTATGAATAAGGAATGTTAGAAGTATAAATCTGTAATTCAATTTTTTTATTTAACTTTTTCAGATGATACTGCTGCTGCAAGAGTAATGCCTCTTCAGTCAAACGATCAGAAAATGGAAGGAGGTAATGGAAGAGAAAATATTATCACCAGTCGAATATAATCTTGTTCATGCTTTGTTTTTAGATACTTATCCAATATCAGATAATGAATCAAATGATTCTGTAGATATTATAGAGGATAAGCAGCAATCAGACGATGGAGGAAACCTATTAAACCGTACGTCCTGGTTTTTTTTTATAATAAAATTTATTTAAATGCTTTATCAAATATTTCAGAGTTATCGTAATTTATCTGATCATTTCCTTTCCATGAGATTATTTTATTCTGCTAATATTTTCGACGTTCAATACTTAAGCAGTTTTACTGAAAAAATAATAATAGATCAGTAACATCCTATGATATCTCTTTAATTTTTGCCAAAAGTTACAAAACTAAGATTCCAGCTTGACAGAGGCTATGCATGAATTTAGTAAAAGATGAGAAAAAAAACCTGTTTTCAGTACAGCAAATTTGTCATCACTTTTTTATCTGTTTGTAACTACTGTTCTTTTTGACTTCATGTGATAATTGAGTAGTATGTGTATGCAATAAGATCGAATGATAAGATCAACTGTTGTACCTTGAACTCATAATTAGGTATCTTTCATCCACGCGGGTTACATGTCGAAAAGTAAACAATGTTGTGATAGATTATCCAAAAAATATTCAATGTGTACATCCTACATTAGATATTTTCGTTGTTCTGCGTAAGCCATATCATTCTTTTTTTCTTTTTCCTTTTATTCTTCATCTTTGATGTTCAATGTTTCTTTTGTCTATGATTTCATCCATTTGACTATTTGTTAACACATACACTTGTACTCATGTCCGACTCGTCTCTAATTCTACTTGTACATCTTCATATCGTGTCAATAATGAAAATTAAACATTGTATAGGATCTCTCTCTCTCTCTCTCTCTCTCTCTTTATGTTTCGTAAGAAGTTACGTGATAGTTGATGTCTTAAATTTGTGATGACTCTATTTTGAACGTGATAAGCTCAGTGAAAAAGAAAGTAATATTAATGCTTTTAAAGTGTGGTATGTTACCTTCAACTCTAGTTTTTGTGAAGGTGTTGGCCACTAGTTGAGGATACAATATATAGAAATTATGTTTGATTGTTTGAACATTAAATATGTCTTCTCGATTAGTTGTTATCACCATTATCACTGTCCTAGCAACATTTTGTCGCCAGTTATTTGGACTTGATGTTGAAACATTACATTTTGAAAGCGGTTGTTTATCGCCCGATACGGGAAATGTTCATATACGTTTAGTATGTCCAAATGAAAATCGTATTAAACTCGTTCGGCTAATATACGGTTATAATAAAGAGACATCGTCTTCATTATCATCACGAGTAGTAGCACCATTATTATCGATTAGTTCACCATTAACGGAGAAATCCCTATGCTCATTTAGTATTTATGATTGTATTCAAGAAGGACACAATACAAAAGTTTTATCATGTAATGGTCTTGAGACATGTTCGATTGAATTAACGAAAAATGAACTATTGAGTACAACAACGGTTGATAATAATAGTAAATTACCGGTTTGTCATGATTTTAATTATGTACAGATTAACTATGCTTGTGTATCAGAAAAAATCACACGAGACATTTGCGATATATGGAAAGATGAATCGCCTGTACTTCATATTAGTCATACGATGAAACTAAAACGAAATAGTTCGAATCGTAGACGAAAACTAAATAATGTTATCACAATTAAGAATAATGATAATCGTTGCCACTGTAAAATACGTTCTTCGTTGCCGAATGGACAAGTTCTTTTACAAGTGATTGAAATGAAACGTGAAGGAAATGATGACATATTTGGTGTAAATAAAAAATTTCAAAGTATAAAACAACAACAATCGACTCCGTCACATGATTGTAAACAAACAACATATTTAGAGATAGCAACAGATCGTCGAGAAAGAAAATGCATGGATATGGCCTCGTCTGGAGCAATATTTGGTTCCGGTAGTCATAATTTTACATTGACATATGTGCGCGATACAAATATCAACGAAGCCGAATTACTTTTTTGGTTAGAAGTTCGAGCGAGTCCACCAAAAGCTGATCACAATGTACAAATCATATGCAACTGGTCGAAACGAAAGTTTACTTCGACGACAACAATCACAACATCAACACTACTACGAAAAAGAATGACACCACAAATAAAAGCGCAAACAATCGACATGAATGAAGCGATAAAACAGAGCCGACTTGATCTTATTCAGCCGAATAATAAAAAACAAACGTATCGTCCGAAATTAAAATTATCAACAGAAATAACAGAAGAAGAAACACCGGCTCGTCTCCAAATTGATGATGATAACGATCCATTTATTGACGTTATTGGTGAATCACAACAATCAGACGATGAAAATGAAATACCATCACATGATGATGTTCTTTTACATATTGGTATGGCGGAAAATGAAAACGAAGGAGGAGACGAGCAACAACAACTATTGATTGAAGAAGAAATTATAGAAGATTCAACAACCAAATTGTACAAACATCGAAAGACAACATTAACATCTACAGTCAGTGTACCATTATCAAAGCAACAAGTAGTTGAATCAGATAATCCACAATGGAAACAATTGCTTCAATTGAACGGTAATCCACAATTCTCGTATAATAATCGTGCCATTTTCACTCAAACACCTGTCATTATTCACGAACGTCGTTCATCATCTACACTTCTTGTTATTCTTTTAATTGGCATTATAACAACAATACTTGTTCTCAGTTTATATTGCTTGAAAGTCAAACGACCGGACTTTATTCGACGTATTATATTCAATGGAAATGTAGCATTGTTATTTTGTTGTGAAGCCGTTAAACTTCTATTATGTTCATCAAAAACATCTCGATCGACAACGATAACTCCAACAAGTACAATTCATCGGCATCCTCCTCACCATCATCAACCTCAATTAGAATATCGAACAGATGATTATTCCTATGAGGATGATCTCGAAAGTACCACAGAAACAACAAATGGTGGTGGTGGTGGTGGTGGTGGTGGTGGTGATGGCGATGTTAGATACGATAGGTCAACAAAACGACAGAATTATCCAACAATAAAACGTAATCGAACATCAAAAACAAATAAACGTACATCAGCGTCTATTTATAGTATCGATAATGAATGCGATTATACAAGAAAATACGATCTTGGAAGTCCAGCATGATCTAAATAAATCTTTCTCATTCATTTTTTATACAAAATTTTAAATAAATACACAAAAGTGGATTAGATAAATAAATGGTGACTATTCGACTACTGATATCATTTCCATCCTCGTATGTATTATAACTATTGTGAAGTTAACATAAAACATTCATCTATTTTGCACTAGGTCAATTCAATTTTAAAATTTTTTTGATGTCATGATAAATCATAACACCATAATAAAATAATCATTTGAGTTTAAGAAACACTTGTTTAATACCTAGATTAGTTATTTACACATATTGTATTTGATAGAAAAACAAGACACTGTTTTGATTGTTTAAATACCCATTTTTCTGTCGAATACAAGTGACACACATGTCTCATATCAATAAGTCATTCATAAATTTTATTCTTCTAACGACATTTTATTTTATTTTTCCCATCACATTCGCTGTTTTAATGTGTTCATTTTAAACATATTAAACGATATTTTTGTTTTTAACAAGTAATTGATAAAACTATTTTCTTTCTTTTTTCTTGTTTTTTTCTTTTTCAATTTTTATTCACATTAAATCTTGTTCATTCTAATGTTGGCTTTTATCGGGTTTTAATCAGAATTAAAAAAAAATTCTTTTCATTTCTGTTTTCTCATCCTAACTGCCACTCTACATAGATGTGGTTCTTGATATAATTGCTTTTGAACGGTACTTATTTATGATAAAGAGAGAGAAAGAAAAGAAAAAAAGAAATTCCATACCTCTTTTCTTTTATTTTTTTTTTTTATAGAACAAAATCTTCCTGTTCTCATATGTCACACAGAAAATTACGATATACAAATATTCAGTTTTATCAAAAAAAATATTCTGTTGATGCACTTTAATTCCTTCCTCATTTTTTTTTGTTTCTTATAAAGCATCGTCGGCCCATATATATCTGTTGTGTGTGTGTATATTTACGTACAGTATCATATTGTCATTGATAGAATTGTTCAGGTAAGATGTCTGTAAAAACAAAAGATCTTATATATTTACAGAGAAAAAAAAAGAAAAACCACAAGCCGATATTCTTATTTTTATTTCTTAGTAAATAAATGTACATTAAATACGAGAAAAAAAAAAAAGACTATTGAACAAACGGTTTAATATTTAATATTAAACATGTGCATGCAGATTAAAAAATATATATATCCCAATAGGGTAACAAGGATGTTTATTTCCTTTTCTTTATATATAGTATATAAAAAATACTTGTTCTTTCTAAAGTTAAATTTCTTTAAAGAAAAAATTTATGGTACATTAATGTGTGGAATGAAAATTAAATGAAACTTATGATTAAGTATGATTTTTTTTCCTGAAACATAGTGACAATAATAAGTGTTCATATTTAGTTCAATAAAAATTGAAAATATCCTAGAACAAGCAAAAGTAGAAATAATTGCATTAGATTTCCTAGGAGGAAATTATAATAATTATTTAGTAAAAAAATAGTATAGACGCGTTAATGCTTGAGTGAATGACTTTTTATCCGTATTTAGAATTTTGTTTTTGAAATATATGTGTAGTATAAAATACCGATTGATAAAGAGAATAGTTCACATTTTATAATCAACTAGTATAAACTATTATTCTGTTATTAAATTTTTTTCTCTACTTTTTAGAGAGTATGTCTCAAGATTCTCTTACTAATGGACAACATGATGGAGGCGGCTTAGCTACTTATTCATCTGAACGGCCAAGTACAACAAATTCAAGAATGAGTAAAATGTCATCCGTACGAACAAATTATGGTAAGTTTTTATGCATGCCAGAAACATTCTATAAATATATAAATGCCATGTTTTGTATCTTTTTCTATTTAGACCGAATGAATGGAGGACGAATGGGTTTAAATGAACATATTAGACTTGTTAAACAGAAAAAAGAAGAAGCTGAAATGCTTCGAATGCAAAAGTTTCAAGAGCAACTCAAGAAAAAAGAACAAAAATGGTAAGCGATTCATCGACAGCAAGATCATTTAGAGCGAGCTCTAGAAAACAAATACTAGAGAAAAATACTAGAATTTTACGAACCTCTTTTCAAACTGAAGGATTGATGTGACTTTGGTTCTATAATAGAAAAATACGTTATTGTCTACTTGAATAAAATTGTAGTCGATTAGATTGGATGATGAACTCATCTTTGGTAAAAATTTTCTGCTATTACCTTTATATATCTCTCACTATATCCTTCGAAACAGTCTTCTTTTTACATTTGTTTTGTAGTATATTATTTGATTAGAAGAAGTATATTATTTTATTAGAAGCTAACTAGAGGAACTAGACAACAAGCAAATTGTTATAAAAACATAAATGCAAAAAAGATACTAGAAAATGTTTTTCACTCGAATTGCTTTATATTTGGCTCGTGTACAAACAGAGCGTGATGACATATTTAAAGCCAGGGAAGACGGAGGATAGTACTAACAAATCTTTCTATCTAAATGTTATGAGTTGCTGCTTTGATCGTAGAGCTTATTGTGTGTCTGGTACGTCGAATTTAAATTTGTATTACTGATCTGAAAAGATTGAGCATTCACTACAATAGTATCATACATATATATATATTTAGTGGGAGAAAAAATACACATTATCTACATTGGAAATAAGACGAAAAAACACACAACAAAGAATGTTTACTTGACACATTGTTTTTGAATTTATTATTTGTTGTTTTTACCTATTAATCAATCATTTATCACTATACGATTACATTTGACATTTTTCTCATGTGCATTGAGATAAAAACAAGCAAAAAATATATTGCAGGACGAGAAGCACATACAGAACAGTCGTCTAATAATAATAATAATAACAATAATGATATTCAGAAAAAAGAAACAAGAGCGGAATTAACATTTCTAGCGTTTTGTCTCTCTCGAAGCAAGATTCAATTTCTAATTACCAAAATCCCAATAATACTTGTTAATCGTCTTTGATATGAGGGAAAAACAACATTTAGTGAATGTTCAAAGGCTAGTTTTTCTTGGTAGTGATGTTCGTCTTATCACATAACCATATTTCTTCATCGATCTGTGTACCATCTATGCTGTAGTCTCACTTGTACAATAGTTATGCATTAGATCAGAATACATATCATTCACAATGGAAATAAATACAGAATCCATCTAAATTTTTCAATTTCTTCATTGATCCAATTATTCTTGTTTTCAACTCGACTTGCTTGTCAGAATATGGTCATCTGTTATTGTCTTCAGTTGCTTAAGAAAGAAATTCTATTTCTATCGTTAAGTGTTAACTGAAAAACAAACTATCAATTATCATCTCATGTGCTTAAGCCATTTTGATCCATTCTTTACAATATACATGCATTGTCATCAAAATTATTAGAAGTTCAATACAGTTTGAATGTGAAACATTTAACCGTTTTCGTAGAAAATAAGAATATCCCAAGGTAATTAATGTCATCATACTTTACACGATACTGACATTATCATACATTGGACACAAAGTCATATGATTGTTTATCGATATTGGTGCATGTTTCGGTAACATTAAAACTGGTTTATTCAGAACGGAACTCGTTACCAGTATTGATTTCTTTGGGTTATTGTTGTCTTACATTCATGTGTATTGATATACAACGTTCATTACCGATGCCTGTCGACGCTCTATGAGCCCAAATATCAATTGCAAAAATCACTTGTAATTCAAATTATTAATATTAATACTTGTTCAATTACATATAAATTCTCGGTAGAAAATGTTTTAAAAACTTGTATCACCAATTCGAGTTGAGTATTGATCTAGTATTATTGATCGTGTTTATTACACAAAAAACGTTAAACTGTATCTTGTATTATATATGTCTAAAGTAATCATTATTCCGTTTAATTGGTTGCATCTAGGTACGCGATGTCGTCTTCTATATTTAAAAATATGCGTTGGAATGGAAGAATTTGTATAGAATTTATTTTTGTTCTTATTCTATCCTTTTCTACTACCAACGATTTCGATTTAGGAAGGGGGAAACCAAAAATTTAATGTTTGAAAAAAATTACTCACAAAAAATTTATGAATCGCTTTTTGACAGTAAAGCGGCCCAAAAATGTTTTTTCAACATAATTTGTGTAATTCCTCCAAAATATTTCGTTCTCATCCAACGAAATAAGATCAGAACAATGTCTACGCCATTTGAGTTATCGTTTATCAGTTGATGATTATTTATCATTAGTTTTATGTTTCTTGGTATCACTCATTTATCGTTTAAGTCGTTGTATTTCTATTTCTCAATATGTTCGATCATTATCACGAAATGTCGCCTCCATTTTTATTTCTTTGTCTGGTTAATATCTCTTCTTTTCTGTCTGTTGAGTTGCCACCAAGAAATCTTGTTGATTCTACCCTCCTGCTGGGACTTATTGTAATTAACATCTAAATCACAAGACATTTCTCTATGGATAGTTTTTGTTTACTAAGAGTGTACAATTGGTATTAATTCGATTTACATTCTTTTTTTGTTAATTTTCGATGAGCATACTAAAAAAACGAACGATAATTTTCAATCTTCAAACTAAATGTTGCTCTATCAGTTTCAAACTCTTAGGCTTGCATTTATCTACTTACCAATTTTTTTGACAGTTTATAATACTAGTTTACTTTTTTGTATCTACATCTTTGTAATATTGATGTTCAATCTCGGTGAGTTTGTACATTGGCTTTGTGTTTATCCGCCTTTTTGTATTGAACTTTTTGCCAATAAACAGCAAGCGCACTGTTTATACATGAATAGTAACTGAGAAGAGCCAATTTGTTTAAAAAACGGTGTGCTTTCATAACTCAATATTTCTCTCTCCGACAGTGAATTCTCGTGAGGGAATATTTTCGACATCTGATATTTTTTATTTATCATATGAAAAAGAAGAGAGAAAAAGAGAAAAAAAAAGGAAAATATGTTTTTGATCCAAAACACATTCGATGATGATACATGAACTACGTATGCATCATCATTGTTGCTTATTTTTTTATTACAGAATCTTATTTATAATGAGAGAGAAAAATAGAGACATTCACTTGATGTATTTCTTATTATACTTGCTGTTGATTTAGCTTGGAGCAAAAACAAAAGAAAGAAAAATTATATTTGTTCACTAACCAGATCCTATCGTCTTTTTCTGTTGTATAAAAAAAAAAGAAATGTCTTTTATTATCCAATATTTGGACAAAAATATCGTGTTGTTATAATAGAAAAAAAACGGTATATCTTTTCTTTAATGAGTGATGAAAATCCATTGATGACATAGTCCTATGTTGATAGTTATATTTGACTTCTTTATGAATCTGTTTAAATAATATTCATCTGATATGAATATTTTTTTGTTCACTCATAACTTTTTCTTTCTCTTTCGTTCGCAGATAAAGTTATTATTGAAGTACTACTAAAATAGTAATGAATATTTATCATTCTCTTTATCTCTTTATCTCTTTATTAAGCGAGGGCAACATTTTTAAAAATTGCAATAATGATTGTCCATGTTCTTAAATCAATAGATAAGCCTTATGTGAATAGTTCTTCATTTTTTATTTTAGGCAGCAACAACAACTTGAGCGTGTTAAAAGATGGCTTCAGTTAAGAAATCGTGACGTTGATAGACGTTCAGCAGTTGAAGAAAGAAGGAAAAAACGTGAAGAAGAAGCAAAGGTGAGAAATCTAAATTATTTGTAAACAAGATGATTTTTTCAAATGTTTTATATTACTATTCTAGCTTAGAATAGAAGAATTGTTGAGAAAAGAAAAACAACGTACAGAGCATTATCAACAACGTGCCATATCACAAGTTACACTTAATTTGAGGTAAATTAAGAACAAGGTTTTGTAAATTTTAGACTTCAAGGTTTTTTTCCTTTCTATAACTAACAGAACGAAACCAGATGTAATGAGTCAATCAACAGATGTTTTATCATCCACACGACGTGCAGTTTCAGCATCGCGTCCTCGACCAACCACAAATAATCTAACAGGTATGGGGTGGTTTTTACTTTTGCATATGATTCAGTTAAATTTATTCTACACATGAAAATAAGGCTGTTGTGTTATTGAAATGAAAACATTATGATATTTCGGTATTTCGTTTACTAATATTATTTCTCAACTGTAGTGAAGAAGTATCTCTGACTAAATGGGTCAAATAGTGGATTAGATTTAATTATTGTCCTTTTTTTTAGATATGACTAATCGGCGTATATTAAATCATTCTCCAGTTCCTCCATCCTCCGGATCACCATCTCAGAGCTCGAATGGTAAGCACAGCGAACAAACAGTTAAATTCATAATGTCGCTCTTTATTTTGTAAGCTTGAAATAGAGGTGATGTGCAACAAAGATAAGGCTTTTTATGCTCTTTTTCTCTCTCTCGCTCTTAGTATGTTTCATTTTGGAAAATATCAAATATCTGTATTCTTCTTTTTTTATAGTTTTATATTTGTGTTTTTTTGTGATAATTTTTCTATCACTTCTGAATTCTTTTTTTTTATAGCAACCAGTTCTCATCATCTAAACCCGATTGATGAACATACACAAAATTCTAATAATATAGTACCCACATCAACTGTTACTAATACTACTACCAATAGCTCGCTAACGGGTTCGCCACGTTCAACAGCACGTTCGACGAACTGTTACTACTATTGGTTAAATTTACCTCATTCAAATTTTATGCGTTTAACATATGCAGCTTCGTGTCGTTCAAGACAGAGTCGTAGTGTGGAAAGATGTCCCAGAGCTTGTAGAGGTAATTGATGTCTTGATCTAACGAAAAAAAACGCACTAATAAAAACTTTTGTCGACGTCAGGCACTTTGCCCAATAATTTATTTTTGTCTTGTGATCGTTATTGAACAACACTAAATGCTTAATGCTTCTGTTGAGTGCTATCTTTTTATGTCTTTTTGTGTATTTTTTATGCTTGGTTGTATTTTGAGTTGGACAATTTGTCACTAATGAATTGTTTTCGTTTTATTATTCTTTGTGTGCTGTGTTTCTGTGTTCACTTAGATTCTCTTATTTATACTCCAATCTGTCTATTATTATTGCTCAAATGCTATGGCTTACGATAAGTTGAATGTGCATCCGTCATAAAAATAGATGACTAAAGCATACAACGTAATAGAGTTCGCAAATATGTTGTCTGCTTTAATTAGTTCTTTACGGAAAAATGTTGTGTTTAAACCTAAATCGTACGTTTATCATGTTGTGTTTATCTGTTAGAATATTCTTTTCTTCACTTTGATAATAGTATCTTATTTATCTGCTTTCGTATTCCTTTTATAGCTCGCGAAGAAGCAATGGCTGCAGCGACTATCACTTCCAACCGTTCCACTACTTCGACGCCGAATGTTGAACAACGTCGAGCTCAAAGTGTTAATCGATCACATTTGAACGATACAATTCAAAGATTGTCCAAACCAAAACCAGTGAAAACACCATCGAATGATCTAATGTCTCAGTCAGTTAATGTTGGTATGCCAACATCTCAGTCAAGTCATCAATTACGAACACACACACAACAACAGCCTTCAACATATGCTAGTCGCGTATGTTCTCTTAGCGATATTCTTTTATTTCTTCTCATATGCTATTTGTTTCTTTACGTTCCACTCTAGAATATCACACGATCTGTTGTTATTTCAACACAGTCAAATGATCACACGTCAACCCAACGTTCATCTCCAAAACAACAGAACGACTTACATGCATCAATAACGACAACATCATCTGGCGTCGGTTCTTTAAATGGTGAAATTAGTAACGATTTATCCGGATCAACAAGAGCTTCATCTGATGTTGATCAACCACCACAACGTACCCTAAAACCTTCGCGAACGTCTAGAACTGGTGCATCGCCCAATCGCTCAAGTAAACCGCCAGTATCAGGCACTCGTTTAATATCAAAACCAAAATATACCTCAACTACATCTCATCGATCGATTCCATCATCTTTATCTTCATCGTCTTTATCGTCATCACTTATCGTACACAGTAACAATACTTCGATAGAACGTTTAACGTCGAAACCACAAACGCGAAAGGCGAGTCTACCTAAAATGGATGAAACCCACTTGAAGAAAAAATTTGTTTCAGAAACAATTAAGACTTCTCCAAATAAAATTGTTCAAGCCGAACAAAACGAATTGTTTGAAACGCCTATATTGGATAATAATAATCACGATATATCAGACACAGCTAACATTATAGAAACACCAATAGATGCGATTATCGATAATACGGAGAAAGATGTTAAACAAGATAGTATTCTCTCAGTCGATGATAATATTGGACAGATGAATGCTGTTGAATCGTCTCATCAAAATTCGATTGAACCCATCGACATAAATTCCATATCGAATATTATTAATAATACTCAATCATCAGTTCCTGTTCAACCTGTAATAACAAAACGTGGACAACAACAGCTAGAGGAGCAAGAATACCAGCGTAAATTAGCTGAAAAACGTCGGGAAGCTAGAGAACGTTTTGAAGAAGCAAAACGTCTTGAAGAAGAACGACAGCGACAATTAGAATTAGAAGAACAACAACGGGAAGACGAACAACGAAAACTTGAAAAAGAACAAACGAAAGCGGAACAAGAACGTTTGCAAAGAGCGATTGGAGAACGTGAACGAGAAGAAAATGAACGACGATTGAAAGAAGAGAAAGAGAAGCAAATAAAAGAAGAATTAGAGAAACGTCAACAAGAAGAATATGAACGTTTGAATCGAGAAAGATTAGAGAGAGTGAAACGTGAAGAAGATGAACGAAATGAAAGAAGAAAACGTTTGGATTTAATTATGAAACGTACTAGACAAGTGTCCCCAAAAGCGAAAGGAATAGAGGAATCTATTCAAAAAGCGAATGGTCACAATGAGAGTAATGAAGCATCATTAGCTACTATAGAGACGTCACCTATAGCACCAGAAACAACATCATCACTGTCTTTATCTAATAAAGCAACAATTCCACATTCATTTTCTGAAACAAAATTTCCTTCTACAACTTCCACAGATAACCTTGACGATTTGTCAAATACAAATGGTACATCAACAGATACCCCAAAGTAGGAATTACATGACATTGCATTTTAAACGGTATACATTGCACTTGAATTTTTGTCATTTAGATTCAAATCTCCGTTAATCCAGAATATTTTAAATAAAACTCGTGGTACACGTTCCAATTCAACAGATAATTTAGCAAATACTCCTTCCACTCCGACATCAACAGCACTGATGACAACGAGTATGATTGTTGAAAACAGTGTTGTCTCTTCTCAAACTGGTGACAGTAGTTCAGACGATGAAATCGGGTCAAGATTACCTAATGGTATTACAAAAATAAATTCAACAAGTGTCAATGATTTAAAGTAATTAATAAGACCATCATTCATCACAACAAAGAATTCTGTTTGCATATTCTTCTACTTCATTTTAGTTTACCTTCTTCCAATAACTATCATCTCGATATGTCATCAATTAAGTCTTCCAATAATTCTCATCGATCAATTGAAACCACAACATTCAACGAACAAGGTCTCGTGCAACAATAACGCTGAACAGTAAGTTGACGAAACCATAAAACTTCATCTGCAAATAAACATTGTACTAAAAGCGCCTTCAGAATGTTCATGTTTAAACCACTAGATAGGAGAGTTTGGCAAACATCAATTAATTTATTGAATCTTTTCTTTTTAGTCTAATTCGTGGCATATCGAACGAAGAATTGCGAAATATCTAGTCTTATGTTCAATTTTCTTTCAAAGTTCTTTTGTTTAATCGGTCGTTTTTGTTTGCTCTTCATTTCGCTCAAAATGAAATTAGGATGTGCACACAGTTTTCTTTGTTTCCATGATCATGATTATTTATTACCATAATAAATTAGGAAGAGCATGTCTCACTAAACGAACATCTTTTGAATGGATTTACAATGTGTACTGTAATAAGCAATGACTATATAGATAAAAGAAAGAAATCATTTTTGTTTGTTTGTTTGTTTTCTTTTGCTTTCTCGTTCTCATTTTGTTTTATATGTATTTTATATTCTTTATCTCTCTCTATACGTTATCACATCAATCATATAAGCTAATGCATACTTATTTTTATATACGACTCATAGCCCCAGTTTTGTTGCTTAAAGAAAAATGAACTAATTTTTTTTTCGTGTTTGTTTGTTTTCGACAACAGAGTAACCTAACAAGGCAAAAGAAAATATATATTCATTCATGCATTTTTATAATAAAAATAATGCATACTCTTAAAGAAAAGAAAGAAATGGATGTATAACAAATTAGACACGCAGTTTTAGTCTCAAATAGACATCTGCATTGGCGGCATAACACCGATCATCAACTGTTTTTCCACGGTGCCGTTGCTAAACGATATTTTATTCGTTGCAGACGTCTGTAATTTTTACATCAATCAAATTCATTTTTTCATATAGGTACCATTATTTTTACATATAAATATGTTTTTGATAGTAATACTAGATATTGTACTGTGATCAGGTTTCTCGATAGGATTCTTTCGATAAATATGTTTTATAATCATTTGATAATTAAAGGCGACATCAAACGATGACTTTAATTCAGGCATTTTCTGCCGCATAAATGACTGTTTTCAGCATGTTACTTCTTCTAAACAAAATTCAAAAAAATTTAATATTTTTTATACAAGGAATTTGAGCACTTGATCTGAAGAACTTTAAACAAAACCTGACGTTCTTTTGGTACAATGACATTTTCCCTTTATTTCACTTCTTAGAAATTGACATTGAATTTTTCCACAACAATGAACTCTCACTAACTGAAACCGGCTACTACTTGACTCTGTGAAAGTCAAAAATTTTTCTCGTCTACGAGAAATTTTGTATCTCTCAGGATGCATCACCATCGAGGGAGAAATGTTAAGTCACCGTTATCTAGAATGGAGAATTTTTTCAAAATTACGCACCGCCAATGAGTAGTAACCAAAAGTCCTCGTTGGTGTAGATATCTACTCGCAAATAGTTTCCTCTAGGAGGCCACGGTGGACACCTTCGGCTATAGTAGGCGAACATATGTTATAAAACGGTTATAAAGTGCTGGACAGCTATTAAAAGTCGATTTTAATAGGTTTTTGACTACGCTCCTTCGAATGGCAAGGTCAAAAAACCTATAATACTTCGTTGTTGTGGTATAATATTAAATATTATATAAATTTTAACTATTAAACTTAATTTTAATTATTAAATTAATTATTATATAAATTAAACAATTTCTAAAGTACATTAAATCTTTTGTCTTCTTGCGATTGTCAGTTTAATGATTCATACGGTTAATTCCCATTTCCTCGAAAATATTTTTAGAGCTTTTTTTATAGTGTTGAAAACAAGCCTTCTGCTGTTTCTGTTCTGCGTCGAGAAATAAAACTAGAAGTAGAATATAGATTATACTAATTAATACGGTTCTTTTAAACAGACTAATTAAAAAGAAGACTGAATTATTCCAAATGAAGTATATATACACTACCAATAAGAAAAAAATTATTTATGAATCGAAATACACGATTACACGATTTAAAAAATCGTTATAATCGTTATATCAGAAGAAAGAGCATGTGACAGCATCAGGAGATGCAGCCTGATCACTGTATTTTCATTTAAAACTAAAATTTGAGTTTGCGTTTAAGTACTTTAGAAAGTTGACCATTTGAAAAATTCTCGGTATATTTTGTATACGATTAGAATATACTGGGATGTTGATAAATATGGAGAACGTTTGAATACATAATAATTCTGTTTATATTTTTTTGCATTTTTTATGCTAAAAACATTATTTTTAGTACTTTTGTTGTCAATGTGCAATTATCTCAGTAATTTTTTTGTTTAAATATGTATTGAATAAACATATTTATTCAAAAAATCTTTCACGGTTAACTCTTGATGCCCGATTGTCCCTTCCAGAGGACATCTCCATAACTGCTAGAAAAAAGTAACGCAGCGCTAAATCAAAACTTTTTTAATCGGATTTTTTTCCAGCGTACGCTAACACTCTATAAGCTAACGATTGCTAATAACAAAAAAGTTTTCATCAAGTCTAAACAAAGGTATACCCGTTTCAAGTTTGATTTGCATGATTAGTTGCCAGGCATAAAGGATTAGATACGCAATAAACACTGGTAGTATGAAAAACTATCTATAGAGAAATTGCAGCCTAGTGTTTTATTCGGATTAAAAATCGGTGAACACAAAAAATGAACCAAGAATCAATGATATTTTCTATTTAATACCATATATCACTTGTGCAATCACCTCCCGGATATCTAACTTCATGAGCTCGCGCAGGACCATTTGGTTCATTTTTGAAATTAATAAAAAAATCTTCATCTAGTTCCATTCCGCCACTCTCAGTTGTATTACAATTAATTCGAGCTAAATATGAACCATCTGTTTTTATATTTGGATAAAATTGATCATCCCAGCTACTGAACAGTGAATTTGTCACGTATAAACGTTTTCCATCAAGTGAAAGTTGAATCATTTGTGGTGCACCGTTTACATTTCGATCAGGATGGTTTAATTTATAATCATTTTTATTCGAGAGACCTCCTAACCAAACTTGGCCTGTTAATTTTGGTTTGGATGGATCAGTGACATCATACTGACGTACATCGCCATGCAACCAATTACAAAGATAAACAAAACGATCGTCTAATGAGATAAGCATATCAGACGAAACAGCCGGCATAGATACGGTTTTGTCTGGGTCCATTTGTGCAACTGTTTCCACTTTCCATTCCCCATCTTTCTCATTTTTATAAAACCGAATCAGACTACCACCTAAGGCGGCCACAACAAAACCATTCGTGTTGTTCGGATCATGACAAAAACGCAGTTCTAATGGAACTAAACCTTCTTCACCTAAATCAATTGTTTTCTTGTATTCCCGTTTATCCCAATCCCAAAAATGTAGTCGCTGTCCATATTTTTTTGCAGTAACATCAGTTGGTTTGAAACCTAAAGTTGAATACCTGACTGAAATGTTCATTTAAGTCTCTCTAAAGGATCTCTTACCTGGTTTAAACGTATTTGGTGCAGCCCATTCACTTGAAATCATTATATTATGCCTTGGTTTATACCAGTAATCATAATAAAACTCAACCGGCGTCTTCTCTTTGTTCCATGGACCAGTTATATTAAAATTCTCATCTAGTAATAAAAATCCTCCGGGAGTATCTCCATTCGCGTCACCGAGCATTGAGATCATTATCTCTCCAGTACCTGAACAAAGAAAAATTAATATTTCTTTCGTTAGTTATTTTCTGTTATTATCTACCCAGGCAATGTACTGTATGAGGAGCTGAAAAATTCCACTTCTTAATCTCTTCTGGTTCAATTATTTTGTGAAATTTTGGAGCATTGGCTTGTTCCGTATCCACTATATAGATTCTACTAGAAGTGAGACCACCCAAAATAATGAAACGTCGTTTTTTACTATTATCACCATGACAAGATGCACATACATTCCATCCAAAATGATGAAATTCGTCGTTTGTATGTAAAGCATAAAGTCGATGTATCACTTGTTTGTATGTTGGTGATGTTTCATCACAATCAATTGTGGCCAAGTAATCCGGTTTCGTTTCATCACATGAGACCATTACGACGTATAATAATTTTTCACGCTCACCCTTCATCGCTTCGAGTGGAGTAGAATATCCCGGTCCTCCGCCTTTGTTACAGCATTGTTCATTCGTTCTCGTAGAAGTTGCGGCTGACATATTAAATTAAGACTCAATCTGAAATATTGATCGAAAATTGTTCTATACGTGTATTTTTAATATCTTCATACACACTTAAACGAAATGATAGTTTATACAACGTTTTTCGTTCTACATTTATAAAAACGGACGAACATGTTTATGAAAAACAAGTGGAACCACCGATTAACGATACTTGCTAACAACGGAAAAAATAACTTGTACATGTCAGATTTTCATAAAACTTTTCTTCTAACACGTGTAACGAATGGGCAGGTTAACAAACTCATACCTTAAAGTGTAAGCAAATAGCCATTTTTTATTTTATGGGTATGAGATTACATTACATTTCATTCAGCTGTAAAGTTTGGACTTTTAAATAAAAATTGATTGATTACTCTTGGTTTTTTATACGGATAGTAATCAATAACACAAGTAACAACAACACAAGTAAACGGCTGGACAATGAAAGAAAACGAAACTTAATTTTTTTTGTCGTTATTTTGATATTAGAAATATTATTATTCTTTCTCAACCACTTTTTTGCAATAGCATGATTTATGCACACATATCTATATATAACAGATATATACATAAACCATGCTGGTAGGTAGCTTTTTTTCGTTTCTTTGCTTTGAAAGAACAGAAAGAACTAATGAGAGGATAAAAGTTTATGATAAAGCCATGCAGCCATAACTAAAAGTTCGTTGATTCCCAGGTTTTCTTATAGATGAAAGAGTGAAAAACGTGCGGTTCTTTCTTGTTATAATATTTCTGGACCTATATGCCTTATTTATTTATTTATTCATGACAGACAAATGAATCTTCGCACATCCTCGGTGCCTCGATAACCTTATATTTCGCTCGATCCAGTCAGCGTTGTTGTTTAAACGATTAAGAGTCAATAATTTGATTAGAATACTCTTTTTTAAATTAACAACAGCCATAGATTACATTGAAATTTATTTTATTAAAAAAGATCTGACGTTTCGACTCTTCATAGAGTCATTTTCAAAGAATATTATAGAACAGTTAAAATCCGCTAGATGCAATTTTAACTTCAAGACAACGGAAATTTTCGGCATATTTATTTCAAAAACAATAAAAATAGTTTATGATTTGTTATTTCGAAAGTATGAGTTGACTATCGTGAAAATTTAGCGCGGTTATTCTACCACCATGAGAAAGTCGTGATCTGTTGATTGAAGTGTAGTAGCAGCTGCAAACATTATATTTTATTAAACAGGAACCAATTGGGATTTCATTTATTATTTCCAGTTTTTAAATATATTATAGTTATACTCCGAAATTCAGTATTTTATATTATAGAAGGCACCACTATTACAGATCAGAAAAAAATCAAACCTCATTTGGTCCTTGTTGAGAGACAGACTAGGATAGAACAAAATGAAAGCAAAGCACAAAATAACACTACACAGTTGTTGGAATCGAACGCCAAAACTATGAAACTTTAAAGCATCAGTTTTACTTTTGGATTAAATTATCCAAAAGTAAGCTTTAGCTGCTCGATTCCTTATCCTTTGCACTGCTATGGTGGGTTCTACGCCTACTGTTCAACCCATACAACTTATAACCTTGGACTTCAGACGCCTATCACCATACTAATCAAAGCTTGTATACTCTATGATGAGTAAAAACACAGAGTCGATGTTATAGACTAGAGATACGTGCGGAGGTGCCAACTGTAAAATTCACAGTTCGAAAAAAAATCTGTTAAAATACGAACGAAAACGGGAAAAATGGTACTAAAAAGCGGAAGAACTATTTTTTTCCAGAATACTTTAACAACTTAAAGATAACCGCTTTTTACTGCTACACCAACACGTGTTCTTTTTTTCAACAGAAAAAACACATTCAACAATACTTACAAAAAATTTAATATTTGAAGCATTGACTGTTTCTTCTGTGTTTTTTCTTTTAAACAGTTTATTCATGAAACATACTTAAAAACAGTGAACTGTAAAACAAATCAAAACAAAAACATACTACGTCGTGTGAATACGTGGATTTTCGCTATATGTGTGTATTTTTTTACTACGTACTGCTGTTAATAGATCTGGTGTAGATAGAATTAATTATAAAACTGCTTACACTTAATATCAATCAAATGTGTGACATACGTGAAAAATGAAAATGAAGAAGGACTTTTTCCGAATTGAGACTACTTTTTTAATCCAATCAATAAACGTGAACAAAAAAGTGGTCTCAATTCGGAAGCCTCGAAAAGAATTGCTTTAAGTATGACGTCATATTAATTAATTCAATTCTTTTACGAATATGTACTTTTCACAAAAAAAGTAAAATAACTCCAGAAATCGGAAAAGAACCCTAGACAGGTGCGATAGAGAGAGAGAGCTACATGGTACAGTATCGAGAGGATGGAACGAGTATAGATCAGTACGTGTTTCCCGAGAGAGTGACTACATACGCAGAACAGAAAAGCTGTATATCCTCCTGGGAATAAATGTTTTCAGTCGATTTTTTAAACTTATTATATATATAGAAATATATTTTTCGAAATGTAATTCTATATTTTGGTAGCGCTTGAAATTCTCTATTAGTCTCTGCTTTCCCAGTCTGGATTCGAAATTATTTGCTGAGAAAAATTTTGAATACTGTTAATGTCAAAAATATATTTCTATCTATATAATAAATTTAAAAAATCAACTGGAAATGTTTATTTCCAGGTGGATATATTTTGTGGACAAAATGAGAAATGATCACGGAAGTAACATGCTTTTGATCCTGCTTGACAAAATTTTGAAAAAAAACATGCAAAAGATCTCTGTTACTAAAAATAAATAGATCACGGTAGAAAGCATGTAATATATGTTGTTTCGTCTATATGATCAAAAAACATGGTTTAGATCTCGGAAGTTGGTCCAAGTGTAGACAAGTTTGAAAGAATATCAACGTATTTACTAACTAAACATATCGCATCATTTCATATGGTGGTTATGATATAATTGTTTCAATCGATGACATGGAATTCATATGATAATTTTGTAGAGTGGCTCCAATCCGCACGATTGATAAATTTTTCTCGTTTTATACCGCCAGTGATATGTATGTGTCGATATGGTATGAATGAATACGCTTGTGTTCATGCTGTTGGACTCATGATGATGATGATGGTTTGATGTATTTCACAAGTTGTCGGAAAACGACGTACAAAAGGGCGTCGAAAAAAAGCGAAGTGAGCTTTATCAAAAGATTAGTAATACAAGTTCCAGTATTTCTTTGCCTATTTTCATTTTTTTTGTTGAATAATTGAAACTGAACATTTACTGGAAAACTAGTTGAAAGTATAAATTAGATGGAGAATAAAGATAGCTTATGTACTCAGAAGTAATGCGAGATCTAAAGCATGTTTATCTTGGTATAAGCTTAATTAGATTTTTTCCCCTGATCTAGTCAATGATTTCGCCATAAAAAATTTAGTTTCCATTACAGAGATCTTTTACCTAATTTTTCTTAAATATTTGTCAACCAGGATCGAAAGTATTTTATTTCCATGATCTTTTAAATACACATCCATATTTTGTTGAGAGAATCCTTGTTCTAATTTAAAATTTTTAATTAATAAAACTACGTCCTTCAAAACCGAAAAAGTGCATAAGATATGCACTATTTTCTTTGTTAACTTTTATAATACTTGCCCGGTTAGACAGTTGTTTTATTCATGATTAGAAAACTTGTAATTACAGTGGTTAACTATTATTAACTCCAATGTATGATTATTTTTAACGATGATAAAAAATTTATGTAGTATGATATTTTAGCCCTCTAAAGACATTAATCGTATTAACCAGGTTTAAACATTTACTATATAAACCTAAAAATGAACCATAAAATCTAAATAAAGCATATAATCAGGATCTAAATGTAAAATAAAACTGTGAAAGTTGAGAATTTATGATAGAGCGATATTTATCATAGAATGATGTAAGAAACGGGTTCGCAACAGGTTTGATGGATCCTGTTTAGTTCAAATATATGCTCATTGGATGATACGAGTCGAAGACTAAATGTTGACTGTTTTGTGATATTGTTATTACAGATGGTACTCGATTAGTGGTACAAAAGCCATCATGTTTTGATTTGGACCGAAAACTCTTTGTTATCAAAAACTTTCACAAAATTCTGTCTTTCCTTTAACCTGTTATTCTCATGACTACAAGTCTAAGGTCATATGAAATCAATATCAATGTCCGTATGATAATGTACCCGTACATAGTGAACCAGATAATTTAATGTACTTTACAAAATACATTGCAACTGCGAGGAAGAGAACGATACGATCATTATATGGCGTCCCAATCGAAGTCAAAGTATCAACAGAGAATAGAGAGGAGTAGAGGTAGTCTATAACTGAGTGAGAAATACCTGGGGTGATAGATGTGTTGAGTGATAAAATTACGAGCGTCAACCGGAGGACTGCTCGACGTTTAGTTTCTCATTTCGAACGGCCTAAGAATTTCATATTTATACTCGATAGATAAAGAATTTTTAAGTTTTAACTAAGATTAAATTCAATTATCACACGTCAGTGTGGAGTTTGAATAATTTTCTATTATATGATGCCATGTGTCTAATAAATGATTATGATAAAGAATTAAAAGTGGTCAATACTGACATTATGCGATTAACTTTTAGCCTGCAATCGCAAAACCGCAATTCACATCTTTGTGATGTTTCAAGTGACGACTAAATGGAGACGCGAGGTTCGGTAGTATTGAAGAAGTAAATACGAATCTTCTTTGATTTATACAGTTTCGTATTGCCGTATCGATAGATTCTTGTGTTATCACAATATAGAAAAGGAAAAGCCTTTCAGTCAACAGCCAGTGAATCTCAGATGTATGCTACTTGTATATAAACTAATGTTGAAAAAAATAAAAAGTTTTTAGTTCAAACTCAAATCTGGCGGTTTTTATGGCACTAGTCGAGTACCAATTAAAAATATCACAAAAATTAACGCATAGTTCTGGAAGATGTTGACCCAGTGGCGGATCCAATCCGCGAGCGGTACGAGCGGCCGCTCGTACCTTTTAACCAACAAACTGTTTTTTTTTTCAGCAGAACTCTTTTAGAATAATTTGTTTCTATGACGACCGCACGTATCTCGCACTTTTATCGTATACCGCATGTACCAAAGAATATTTCTGGATCCACCACTGTGTTGACCTGATAGCTGTCTAACTGAAAAGTCTACTATAGAGAAATTAGTTAATCCATCCTACTGAGAGATCATTGTATCTCAGTTTGTTTTAAGAAAATATATGACTGTTGCATACATTAAGTACAGTTTGATTGGGAAGTTTCTCTAAGAACAAGTTGGATTAGCTTCCTTTTCAACTATATTTACTATGTAAATCAAACTTTGTTATCATTCCACTCAAGTTATGAAGAAGAGTGAAGAATATTTTACTCTCTGAGCAAGGTTGATCAAACAGCAACGTTAACATCTGAGCCTCTATCCATGAGCTATATCTATATATCACATAGAAGACTCGAAAATGAAAAATTGATTATCTCTTATATGGAAAAAAATCTCGCAATGTTGTCGTCATAGTTGAGTGAACATATATTTGAACTAAACGGGATCCACCTTCGGCTAGTCACTGTTTTATTGATCTTCCTCACATGTGTGATGGTTTATCATCTTCAACACATATGTTAAAACACACACTGATGTACTATCTATCACTTTTTCTTCTGAATTTGTGATTAAGAAAAAAAGATGAGTAAAAGAGACGAATAATGAATACTATGAGTCAGTGTTGTCGATTAAATCTATATCGATAATATCTATTTAGGCAAAAGTCTGAGAACAAAAATAAACGCTTTCTCTTTCCCATTTACATTCTATTATTCTAAGTTAGATAGAATAATCAAGAATAACATTCACCGAACATATTCGTGAACTATCGCACAAGGATGAACAATATTGAAATTATATTCTGCTTTATTCTTCTAAGCAATTTCGAACATGAGATATTGTCGGGTAAGTTCATTATTTGACTTTATATTGTATCAGATACTGGTGCTACCAACAAAGAACAACAACTGAGATCACTGCACATATAGTATTCACTTTAAACTGACACTAATTCCGATTTTGTATAATGTTATGATATCTCTTGGTGAATGTTTTCAAAATAATAATAATATACCTTGAGTGCGTGCGCTGTTTAAACCTCTTTCTGGAAAAATGTGTTTAAACGCAAACAAAAGATAAACTAGTTTAAGTTGGTTTCGCTATTTTCTGCCCAGATAAAACGCATTGTAACCTATGTTAAAACCAGGCAAGCACCGGTATTTACCGGTCACAATCCTGTGTTCTTTTCAAAAAAGCTTTTCGTAACGTAAAATAATCTTCTAGAGTATGTTTGACCACTGAATTTTGTAGAGCAAACATTTCTCCAAAGAATGAGGTATGACAGTACTTTTCGTCTTGATTGAGTACTTAGATAAAAAATGTTTACGAAACCCTCTACAACCAATATTGATACCGGTATCGGCTAATACAGGCTTATGGCTCTTTGTAAAGAAGCGATTGTGTCAAAAGAAAAGAGATGAAGAGTTGCACCATGTCTCATTCTGTAGAAAAATGTTTGCTCTACAAAACTCATTCGACAAAACATCTAAACATATTGTACCTTATAATTAATCTGATTGAGAAAAACGATAAAATATATCAGTAGATATCGATGCACGCTTGATTAAAACTCTATTAAACTCGTTTTCATTGAAACAACAATAAAAATGTATGTAAACAAATTTAGTGGAAAACGAGTTTAAATGCGATTTCAAATGCACAGGTGTAAAAATCTTACAAAACTATTTTAATCGCATTTTTCCAGTTAAAAAACATGTTTTGGTAAAACTATTAGTGTTAAAAAAAACGTAAATAGAATGTACCTTTCATATTTGAAATTGTAAATCTTTCTTGTTTTAAGATGTTAAAACGACTCAGTCTGTATTGTTTACTCTCGATGGTGTAAATACACAGTCAGTAAGTGTTAATCATTAGCTAGTCCCATCTAATGGTGAATATACTTGAAATGTATCTCGTTTCCATAGTGGAATGATTATTATTTATGGAGGAAAATCCAATTATCAATTGTAAATCATTTAAATAAACTTTGTGAACAAGATCGACAATGTGATGCCGAGTAAGGTTCACTCTGATTAACTGTTTCATTCAAAAAATGATGTACTGTAGGTATGGAGTTGGAAATATTCATTTGACAAATGAGTATCCAAGAGATCAAGATGACAATTCAATTATTTTATCAGTCAGTGCTGATGAACCTATCATTGTGAATAAGTCTTATAACTACACATCATTATTGACAGGTATAATACCATCTTTCTTCGTCATTCTATGTATTACAAAAGTATTTTCGTCTTTTATATGATTTTTAGAAGCAATATTGAAAACAAAAATAGATGTTGAGAAAAATTTTGGGAAATGGATTCGAAAAAAATACAATGAACATCGATCATCGACGACGTCACCTGATATCACAAAATGGGTGTCTATTTTTATAACACTTACTATGTGTGGAATAATGTGTGGCTTAACAATTTATCTCTTTCAAAAACTGTAAGAATATTTGATAATTTTATGAATCATGTTAATTTATGAATTCACTGGAATTCTTAGAATTGATCTGGAGAGAACTTATTTGTTGAAACTTGTCCTGTTGAAACTTGTCTTGCTATATTGTGTAAGATCATTCAGCTAGATTCTTTCACAATTTTCTGATCTATCTTCACCATCATCCGTACTATAAATTTCAAGATTGCTGGATATCTTCAGTATCTCTTTCACCTTCCCGTTTAATCTAAGTTGCATTTTCATGTCAAATTAGTTAGTCATGCATTTTATCATTATTTCTTTTTTAGTCGTAAACAGCGATATGTAAAACTACGTCCACTTTATACAAATGATTATAAACACTCAGAGTCGTTACCATCAACAAATGATAAACACGATAAAATCACAGCATTAAACAGAGAATTAATCCAAGCGCACGATGCAATTCACGAATGAATAACAAAAATAATATGAATATTTAATTTGAATTATTTTTTGTCAGAAATTTCGCTGATTATTTGCGTTAGAATTATAATTAACGATAATTTTATTAAACAAAACACAATTCAGGAGAGTCTTTGAAAAGTATTCAGTGCAGACCCCGAATTCATATAATTTTGCTCATTCGAGAGGTTCTATTCTAAGATTTCAAGATTCACTAGGTCCCAGGCACATACTGCCAACTGTACTTGAGTGTTAGAACCCTTTCTAAGTTTTTAATTGTTGTAACTGTAGAATAACTGCAATTTAAATGGTTCCTGCAAAATGTAAAGCATAAAAGTTTACTACTAAGTAATACTATCAGATATAAAATGTTCATGAAAAAAATGATTTGATGCTAGACCATGCCTTTTTGAAAAAGCCCTCTGCGAAAATATAAGTCTGTGCAGCTTTTGTAACCCAGCTTGTAAATCGTTTTGCCAGTATTTTTAATTTATCAAACATGGCTTCAAATTTCTCTTGTGGAAAACGAGTTTAAATGCGATTTCAAATACACTGATGTAAAAATCTTACAAAACTATTTTAACCGCATTTTTTCGGTTAAAACACACGTTTTGGTGAGACTATTAGTGTTAAAAAAAACATGGTTTCAAATTCTCTCATAATGAATGTAGCTGAACGGTTCTAGACGAAAAACACGTTGCAGTGTATATGTCACTTGTTTAAAGGCTCTTAGAAAAGTACTGACAACTTTTCCAAAACACAGACGCCCCATTTCGATGAAAATACTTTTCGCTATCCGTCAGAATGTTGCATAATAATTTTCAAGTTTATTTTGAATTCCTACCGTTCGAATCCTCAGAAAAAACTTCAAACTCGACGAAGCCTGATCCGATATGCAGGACAACGAAAGATGATGAGAGTTTAGTACATTGCAGTAGATGCACCATAAAAGTTAGTTATTTTGGTTCATTGTTTGCAGTGATAATGGTTTTCAAAAAGGGTAAATCTTCAAAAATGAGTCATCGTTGTTCACCATTCCGTGTTGATTTCAGGCGATAGTGCATAAGTTTTTCATTTCTATAACACACCTCAACGTAGAGACATTGTAAAAAATTATCATCTTCAGCATAGTGCGTTTTAACAGACCATCTACTCCGTTGAAATAATATTCCGGTTTTACAGTTTTGTATGCATGCTTTGCGAATAATTGTGGTGACAATGAGTTATTCTGTAATAGGCACTTGTTCAAGTATTCTAAATCAATCCTTATCAAGCAGTCCACTGTGAAAAAAAGGAAATCAATTACTGTTTACTACTTCTCCAGTCCCCGAAATAATATTGATGTTCAATACCTCAAAAATCAAATTTTAACAATTTTGCATGAATTCATGCATAATCATATGAAGAGAAGGCGCAACTTTCGGAAAAAGTCCCTAAATCTTGTACAGTACCTGCGATTAAGCAGAAAGAATCATCCTACACCACAATTTCTGAGAAGAATCGAATGGTGCTATCAGAAAGAGGTAAAAGTGCTTCCCTAGAGAATGCAGCTACTATTTTCATTTTTGGAAAGCGTTAATACGTCCACATGCATTAATTGCTAACTCATGCGAACGCATCAAATAAATCTAAACCTATGTGAATGAATTAAGTAGACGAAAGCATTTTTCAAAGCACTTGAAGAGTGTAGAAAGAGAAAACTTGCAAATTATTTTAGTCACCACCGAGCACGTCCAGTTTAGTTTTCCTCCAAGAGAGAATTTTCTTGGAAAATTTCTACACTACTTTCCTTTATGTCTACATGAGAATGCCAAGGGGAGAACAAGCAGACTTTGAACTTTTGAACTCTTATGGATTTTACTGAACTTACATCGACTTACCTGAACTATGACGGAAGGTTTAAAGTCTATCCGAGTCCAAGATCCATTTAAATAAAAAAAATAGTTTGCGTAGGCCTATGTAGCTAGGCTGCTCCTTTCTTCACTCTTTATTGTGTTGTCTGTCAAAAAAGACTGGACACAATTTTTTATAGTCATAGTAGCCATTGCATTCTTGATACGAACGTTTTTAATAGGAATGCTGATAAAACTTTGTATCCATAGTTTTCAACCAGTAGTTACGATCGAAACAAGGAGTGGTTTCACAAAACATAGTATATCGTCTACGTTGCATCTGGTGTATACAATTATCATCAAGCGACGTCATCTAGTTGACACCTGATTATGTCGTCGAAAAACTTGTGTATTATTTTGAGAAGATCAGCCAAATTAATGTTTTTCTCACTTTCCAATAATTATAGAGACCCAATAGTGAATCTTTTTGTAAATTAATCAAACTATTTTAGTGGTAAATAGTGTTTCGATAAAGCAATTTCTTAGAAAGAGTCAGACTGTGCAAAAGTCACAAAACAAGTGAAACATCGTATCAAAAAGACATTTTTTTATAGCACAAAGGCTTTTCTTTGAACTCGCGACATCTTGTACCTTTAATACGTTTGAATGCATTAACCCTCATATTTATAGATATTTACACCTGAGGTTCTTACAGACTTCAGAAATCAGGCAAATATAGTGTAGGTGAGAATACGAGAGTTCAAAAAGGCGAAAATAAATTTTAGTATCTTTGCATGCTTGAAAAGATAGAGCATTTAGGTGCCTGATTTTTATAACGTACTTTTAAATATTCAATTCATTCAGATGCCTTTCTAACCAATATATTTAAAGTTTTTCACACATTGAACGATGACGAATTAATTTTTAAGGCGTATGGAAGTATTAAAATAATAAAACTGTGCTTTTAAGACATTTGAACGTTTTTTTGTGAAAAATTTCAGAAAATTTAAATATGTTGGCTAAAAAGGCATTTGAACAAGTTGAATATGTATCCATTATTAAAATCAAAAAAACGAAGACTCCTAAATGCATTATCTTTTCAAACCTTTATAGGCGTTAAAGCTTTTTTCTATCCATGCATCTATAAGGCATTGAAAAAGTATCAAAGGTAAAGATTGTCAATTATATAATGTGTTCAAAAGAAATTTATTGAGTCAAAATAATTCATTAAAAGCAATTTACGTGTTTTCTTCCTTTATGCTGATGACATTCTTCTGATGATAGTCAAACCTCACACGACCATAACTTCTGATAGAAAAGCCAAAAACCTAAAATTCTCTTGATGTTTTTCTTATCCTACTGATGTCAAGATTTTGGGCAAAATGACGACTCAAAATCTTCTAATCATTTGACGAGGATCCCCTCGCACAGTGGGCATTTTTCTATAGAGCAGGCGGACACATGCTGTAGAACTGGTATGAAAGCCTATAAACATGTTTTTCTATTGGTTTTCGAATATGCTCTTTCTAATGATGAGATTTTCAGAACTCAGAAGTAATTCCTTGTGGATTTTCTAGAGACCGGACCTCTGAAAAACCCATAAAAAATATTTTTACATTTCGAAAATCTCACTATTGGAGAGATCATCTTCGAAAACCTATAAAAATGTGTTTATTCACTTGCGTACTATTGCTAAAATAAATATCCAACTTCCTAAGCAAAATTTGCTGCGGACAGGCTTTCAACTGTATAATTCAGTTTGAGCGAAAATATTTCTGCAGAAAAATTAAAAAGCTATATATCATTCGACGTGGTTTTTCACGGCGATTCCGAATATGACTTTATGTTATGGGAAAAGTGCTCTTATGGGGGAGAAAAACGCGAAGTACCTCGAAAACCCTATGGGTTTTTGTAAAATCAATAAGTCGACTTAGAAAAAAAGACGAGATCATCATAACTACACGATAGGCTAAGGAACATTTTCCTATAATTAGAAGGTCTGTTCAGGCTTAGCGTTTTTTAGCGCTGTCACTGCACTGAGTTTGTCTCATGTCGGACCGTAGTAATCTAGACTGCTAGACCTTTTTTCGTTTCGTACAAGATGCAAAAGGAGTACCTTCTATTATCAGGAGATGCAATAGGTTGTGCTGATTCCGAATATGTGCTTTGGATAGGGTAATATTGCACGTCTGTACATAGAAATAAGAATCTTTGCAGATGTATCGTATTTGACGGTGTTTTTTGTGAATGTTCGTAAGTTAACTTACTCATCGAAGGAGTTCATTACTAGTCGATCATTATATACCATTCGATAGCGCTTTTCAAAGACTACATTTACTACTGTTCGAATTCAAAAAAACTCACTTGTCGATTTTTGCTCAAATTTCCGCCTGAATGCCCACTGTGCCTCGTTAGTCAAATGAATACCTCTTCAATGAATTGAGCTCATTTATCGACTTCACTTCTTCGAATCACTAATTTTAAGCGATACATTGAGAAGTTTTCTTTTCAGAACAAATTACAACAACCGAGTGAAAACTTATACTAGGTGAAATACCTCATTTTCGATTATTTTCATCAAAAATTAAAAAATTCACAACTCAGTCAAAATCTACTTGCGAATGTCAGGAAAGACTCTATTTTATCCCCTGATTCTGATTCTATACGTAAAATCAATAAAAAATAATTCTCATAGTTCCGAAGGTTTTTAGGAAACCTTTCTAGAAAGCAAAGTATTTTCTGTTGATTTTTTCAATGTTTATTGAGTTTTACTGAGAATTTATTGAACTGAAGATAAAATAGAGTGTTTCCTGACATTGGGAAGTAGGTTGGATGGATTTTGACTGAATTATGAATTTTTTGATTTTTGATGAAAATCGAAAATGGGGTATTTCACCTAATATAAGTTTTCACTCAGTTGTTGCATTTTGTTCTGAAAACTAACATTGCCACGAGACTCAGCATAGTCAATAACCTATGTTTTCATTCGTTTCTGACAGTCCCAAACCTAACGGCACAGGAGTGCTAAGGCTTCAGAGAAAACACCCATAGCTCCCGAACCATGGATTTCTAAGATGTCGCTTAGATCTAGTTCTGTAGAGGACACTTCGAACTATATATAACAATTCGTAGATTTCTATGCCAACTTTAAGAGAACCGAACTGGTTTTCTAAAGATCTT